AAAGCGCTCGCCCGGGTGGCTCCGACAACTAGCCGGCACCCACGCTAGGAAAATGGATGAGGGCCATACAATAGCATTCTGCAACAGAATGATCGACATCATGACATGGTAGCAACGCGGCCTCCAGCACATGGCGAAGAGCCGAGCACTAGGTAACAATACCGACCGCCGCCCGAGTAGTAGATTGCAACTCAATACAGGCATAATCTGCTTGAAGCTTGAGCGTGAAAGATCTCCAAACACCCTGGCCCTGCCAGGTGGTCGAGCCTGTGCTTACGTAAGGTGGCTCCTGCTGGCTTGGCTTCCCGCGCTTCTCCCTTAGTTAACCTGAATCTACACAACTTCGACGCGTCAAGGAATCATGCTTCATGCAAAACTAACATTACGCCCTATTCACGCAAGTTTTCACGGAATCTGGACTCCGGGTCCGGTGCCACTGGCGATCTGGGATCCGCCCTGACCCCCACCGGGTCCGCTGGAGCTGCATTCGTGCCTTGGATCACATCTAATGTTGGTCGCGACGACTGCGGCGATCTGGAAGGGGCAGGAAGCTCGAAATACCACTGCCCTCCGGAACGATGTCTGAGTTCTCTCATCTCTGGATCCGGGCTACCATGTGGACTTGCACGCCAAGCGCCTTGTCCTGGTGAAGGAGGATCACCTTCGCTAGGACTTGGTTGGCCATTTGAGCTGCCATAGGACAAATTCCTGGCATGGTTCGGCATTCTGCCACTTATCGGCGAGATGGTGCCTTGCGATAGACCGGATTGCTGGGATGTGCGACGAACAGTTCCATCGGACGCCAATTCATGTCGACCGTACTGCACGAAACCTGCGGGAATGGCGGAACTGCCGTCAAGCTCTGGCTTGACTTCTTCTTCGGCTGGAATAGTTGGCTTGAAGAATTCAAAATTATTGGAAGGATCGTCTTCCTGGATTGTCGTTCCACCGATCGAATTTCGAGATGTGAGCTGCAGCTCAGCGCGCAGCTTACGGATATCTCGCTTCTTTTTCCAGCGCCAGAAGAAGAACGCAGCTATCATGAGGACCACCGCTGCTGCTGCGACTGCTATTCCGGCGATGGCTCCGGTGCTCAAGCCAGATTTCTTGCAGCCGATGCATCGGAGATCCGTAGCAGCCCCATCAAGTGGTTTCGCCTTCGACAGGAAAAACTTGCTGTTGCCATAGTCTGCAGTGAGATACCTGGTCATGATTCATTAGCGAAAGTTTTCTGTCAACAAAACGTCAGCCCAGCCTTACGCTTCTTGCAAAAATGTTCTGCCCAAAGTGTACTGGTCAGATCCACTGGCCCTTTTCAACGGGAAGTATCGATAAGAAGTGCTCCCATCTTCAATATTCGCCAATGGGTACTGCAACGCCTGGTCGAAAGCTCCGTACGGCATCTCAATGTCCACTGTTGGTGCACCTGCAGTCCTGTTCCCGGCAAGAGTGAAGGTCACAGTCTTGCCGTCTTTGAGCATTTGATCGTGCTGGGAGTCATTGACTAGATAATATTGGAACGTCTCATTCCAGACCAAGTTGAAGGCGCGCTCGAAAGCTTGACAGGTCGATTCGGGTAGCCAAATTTCCGGGATGAGAGAGTCTATGAAGACATTCGGGATGCCGTCATCGAGACCTTCCACTGGCGCCCCATCAATTGTGATTCCTTTGATAATGACGACAAGATCCCTTTGCCAGTCACTATTAAAGGTCGCGGAGATGGCGCTGTCTTCAGTCACAGCGCCGCGGTTCGCGTCGTATCCACCGAAGGTCAGGCTGAGTAGCTCCGGGACAGGCGTATAATGCCTACCCGCGGTGTACCCATATGAATACGCCGATATGGTTCCTCCATCCTTTAAGGCCTGCAGCGGCGCTTTCGTCATGTCTGCTTCGCTTGTGCTATTCACATGGGATGCATATCCGGTGAGGCCAAACATGCCAAGATACGGAAGAGTAGCCAGATTCGAGGCGATTGTCTGCCCACTGAGTTTAGGCGTGCCTGACTTCAGTGTCAAGACGATGGTATCTGTGCCGACTATTGCGGTGCCGTTATATCCCTGCGACTGTTGCGATGAAGAAAACGGCAGGCTGAAGTAGCCGTCGCCATTGCTTGCTGAGACGGCTTGGAAGCTGGAATCGGTGACTGATGCCGATGAGAAGAGCCCACCGCGAAGCTCGGGACAATTGACTGGATCTGAAATCACGTTCGGGTCTGAGGAGATTATACAGCCTTGAAAATCGGTCGGCCATATGGCAGAGACGGATGTTGCGGGAAGAAGGTTGACAAGCTGAGGTGGTGTTCCGATCTACATGAGTGTCAGCTACAACTACAACTTTTGATGGCGGAGGCATTACCTGGACTTGAATGGTAGACCAGTTTCCGTCGTTGCCTAGCCACTGGTTATATGGCTGCACACTCACCGGACCGACCATGTTGCCAATCTCATGACTCTGCCAGGATATAATGGCGAAAGTTTCACCAGGCTCCGCGAAGGGTTTAATGTTTGACTCTTGCAAGGCCAGTATCACTCAGAGCCTCAAAGTCTAGCCGTGCCGGGTGCACACCACCCTGTTCATGTGGACTGGACCAGGCGCATCTGAGCGCGGGTCGTGGCAGAGCTGTGTACAGCATTCATGCATATGTAGGACAGCGTGGGACCTATCAGAAGCATCAAGTACCGAAAGAGCATCATTGCTTGGGTAGAGAATAATGAGGAGTTGTGCATCTCGATGTAGAGTTCACGCCCGCAGCACTTTCGGCTACGGGCCGATTATCCGACTCGGTATACGCGGGGACCTCGCGTAAGGCGAACTCTAACGCCACAACATCAGAGGCTCTTCACGTCGTCTTTCAGGCTGGCACCTGTTTCGACGGATTCTTTATATTTGAGGCGCTGAAACTTGCTTTCGAAACGGCCGACATCATTGACGAGACCATGCACGTGTCCTGGCGAAAGCTCGTGTCCGTACTCGGCTGCCGCGTGGTGCAGCGTGGAAAATGGGTCGCAAGGCCGCATACGCAGAGCCTGACAGGATTCAGCAGCTTTGGAGAAGCCCACGGGCGGCAGCGCCACAGAACGTGGCAGCTGACCGACGACAAGCGACGCTGCACGCCGTCCAAGCCTCGCTTTCACGCATCGGAGTTGTATCCTCTGCTGAATGCCCAATTGGGACGTACAGACACCACACACTCGCTACACCCGACCCTCTATTCATGCACGGCAGCAGGCGGGCAGCGCCGCTACATGCAACCTCCGACCCGATCTTGCCTGACCACTCTCTTCGCGGGCCTCTTCTGCATCTCTGCAAGCCAACCAGCATCTCTCAATGCAACTGAGTGGGCGAGTGGAAGACCCAACAGCATGGCGGTCACGCTCCAGCAGCAGCCGCCTTGCAAATTCGAGCAAAGAGCTTACGCGGAAAAGCACAATTGACCTTCGTCGGCACAGGACACCTTACCAAACAGAGATGACACGAGCCGAGGCACGATTGCCTCGAGCGTGGTCCGACCTGCATCCTGTGAATTGAGCTGCTTCTGGCTTCACGTCTATGCAAGTCCGGCAAGCCTGGTTCTTGGCAGCACAACAAGGCTCGATCTACCAATATATACTTGCTCCCCCATGTTAAGGGCATACGAGATGCATTTCATCAACTCTGCATCTGGCTCACTGCTGCTTTCCATCATATTGTGCTACTATCCGGACCTGCCGGTCCTCGTTTGTTTGGAGTCAACAACAAGCTCAGAGCATTCCCTGTAGCTCAGGAACATCTTGGGAACGCCTCGAACTTTTTGGAAGCTTGTCTGTTGCTCATCCGTTCTCGATCCGCCCCGAGACACACGTTCAGGCACCATGAAGGCTTGCTTCGCTGCTCTCATTGCTGCTGTTGGAGTGGCTGCGGGTGGCGGCGACGGCGGAGCAAACGAGGATGGAAGATATTCAACTTGGGTCGAAAGCTCTGCACAGTACGAATACAGCACTAAAGTCTGGCAGAAGCCTTACACTACGACTGCCATCTGGAGCCATCCTGCCGAAACATCAGTCTACACAAGCACGTCCATATCGATCGTGGACAGTATAGAATCCATCACAGTTCCCGTCCCTTACACAACTACGCTGCCCGCGGTCGTTAGTACCTCTATATCGATTGACACCAGTCCGACCACTGAGGTCATCACATCGACAAGCTACATTTACTCGACTTATACGTCGCTGGTAACTGTCACCGAAGTTACTATGTCAGCCACAACCAAAACAGAGTTGTCCAGAATCACGTTGCCAACTACAGTGGTGGACACTTCCGTCCAGTCAATCATCGTTGACAATACCGTCCTCCACTACACCACAATTGTCGACCAGGAGACTATCATAAACACCATCACGTTTCCTGCTCCCCCGCCTGTTACGGTACCAATTCCTACCACAATACCGACCACCATCACCGCCACTCCTACTTCGGCTCTCTGCCCTCTCGGTGGACCATCGACTGCTAATTCTCTTGGCTGTGGTGGCCGGGGTTGCACTGTTGAATTTCAGCAAGAAGCTCTCGTCCACTGGAGCGAATACCCAGATTCGGAACCTCTGGTGACAGTGCTGTCTTTCGTGGACGAATCTGCTTCGGCGACGTGTATTACAACGAAATGCAATACGGAAGTCTTCAACCAGCACTATCGTCAGACAGCAACAAATTGCGCATATCCGCCTTGTCCGACTAACACCATAGACTGCAACTGCAACATTGTTGTAGGCCCCATTGTCCTGCCTGGTGGCTCAACAACATCAGTCACGCAGATTGGACCCTCTGGGTGGAATCTGATACTGGGTACCGTACCCACTGGCAGGAACATCGGGTTCTGTCTTCCCGACGGCGGCTCATGTGTTACGGCAACATCAGCAACACTATCCACTCCGCTTGTTTACACCGGAGAGGTTAGCAGCACAGTTTACAATAATGCCAGTGCACCTCAGTCGACCGCGTGGTATCTGCCTGAGCTTGGCGAATACTTCCCTCCTGACAGCCCCTTTGGAGCTTGCACGACAGCTCTTCTGAGAGACAATGATGTAGTTGCGAAGCATCACAAACGCCAAATCGCTGCGTCAAACAAGCTAGTCTGGTCCGCCGTTCCCAGCAACGCTAGAACGAAGAGGCTAAATGTGACGCAAGAAGCAGTGACAGAAAGAACCACTCCAGCCTCCACGTCGGCATCGACTACACCGACTTCGCAGCCTTCTACCCCAGTCACTACGCCTTCATCGAGCACGTCGCCTTCGACCGAGCCCACGTCTACAGCTAGTGCTGCTACCAGCGGGGAGACTAGCAGCTCGATACCAATTGGGACATCTACCGAATCACCATCGTCCCACAGTAGTCATTCAGGAACCGTATACATTACCGAGACGGTTTACTACAGCATGATCCTGTCTCCAGGTCAGCAATCAGTACTGGATGCCTACGCTGCTAGTGAAGAGGGTCTTTCGACTGCCTCAGCCGAGTCTTCACCATCTGCCACAAGCTCTTCACCTCAGCAGCAAACCGACAATGCCGCGACCTCGCCTCAGGAACCTGGTTACTGGCTGACTCTGGCATTGATGCTCTTCGGTTTGCTGTAGTCTGGGCTGACTTAATCGATAAGAGAGACAAAAATGATATAAGAGACTAAAACGCAGATCGGACCGGCCTGATCGGCCTTTGAGAAAAAAAAAACGCCCTTGTAGAGGAACGATAATGTCACCCGGTAGCACGAAAATCCCCTATTAGTAGCTTCGTATCTATCTCTATCGCATAAACTTTGTAACTACTAATTAGGCAAATACGAATTCGGAATTACTAGGGGAAGGCCTAGCTTTATATTAGTCTTCCCTACTGCTGCTTTTACGTTCTATATCGGGACGCGACTCCTTCTATTAGCGAGCATTCGTTATATATAAGGCGTATATACTTATTAGCTCGTAATCGATTCCCGTTTCTATAGACTTAGTTATTTATATCTACTATAGGGAATATAAAGCCACACTTAGCCAGAAACTTTGCTATTTAGCAAACGGTCTACTTGCCTACGAATACGATAAGAAGCGATACGTCGAGTGTAAGTATATATTAAGGCGTAATATTTACTACCTTTAGAAATTAAGTATACTATTCTAAGCCGTAGGGCCGGCGGCTTTAAGTTGCGTATACCGTATAAGGCTACTAGATAGCGCCTTTAGCCTCTTAGCCTTATATATATATTTATTCTTATCTAATTAGATTCTCGAACGTAGGTTTATTTATCGTTAAAATTCGCGTAGTAGTCTTATACTACTAGTATTACTGCTTTTCGTACCGCGTTTCTAAGCGTATTCGTCGTTTACGTAGTAATAGGCGAAATAGCTCTACGTATAGCGTAGCTAAATAGTAGTTAGTATCGACAACTTATAAAGAGATTAATTCTCATATCTTAGCTTTCACTCTTTCGTCTGTTGTCCAAAATTGCTACTAGCTACTAAGCGCGGCTTGTGTATATAGGACAACCTAGTCGCAGCCTAGATTAGCCCCTCGATTACTTACTTAACCTCCTGTTATTATTAATTAAGTTATTTTCTTAGCTTCGTGCAGGCCTACCGTCCGAAGATGCATGAGTTGCTCAAGAATGGAGTCCGCAAATGCGAGAACGCGAGGCACGTTTTCGACCAGTCCGACGCCTTCGGGCATAAAAGGGAAACGTGCAACGTACAGGAAGTCGAGGCAGGGATGTGCTAGGTGTAAAAAGAGGAGGGTAAAGGTGAGTCAGGAGATCTGAGATGACGCGCCAGAGCCGTTTGTGGCCGCTGCTCGCGCTAGTTATAGGCATGAGGGCAAGGCTGATCAGGCTGCTGTAGTGCGATGAAGCGAAACCGACATGTACTGCTTGCCTGACCAGAGGCGAGACCTGCCATTACGCAGATGTTCCGCATTGGTACGTGCGATGGTGGTCGCCCGAATCACGATGTTTTGGCTAACTCCAGTTGTCCATTTTAGCCACTTATGTGGATGTCTTGATTGCGACTGTGTGGCAGCCAGAGAAGCGTCGGTCGATCCGGTAGATTTCGAGTTCACATTCCACTATGCCAGATACACTTACGACACGCTCATTGAGGAGCCGATCAACGAAAAAGTTAGACCTTTGCTTGCACCTCCGGCATCACTGACTCACCCCTTCATCCTGGAATTGCATCTGGCATTGGCAGCTTCACATCTGGCGTGTTTAAACCCATCAAAAGCCCCAGTCTATGTGGGACATGCCATTCGATACCAGAATCGAGCATTGGAAAAGTTCAAGCTTCAAGGTTTACCGAAGCCTGAAGATTGTCTGCCGATGTTTTCCTTCTCGGCGACGCTTGGCCTCTTGCATCTGGCGCACTCAAGAGTACCTGGACCGCATGGATACCCTGTCGACTGCTTGCTGACCTTCATCGAGCTTGGCCAACTGTGGCGAGGCTGTCGCTCAATCCTAGCCGTGGCGAGAGAAGTGCTCCCCATGGAGGCGTACATTCAGACGTTCGAGGAGCCGCATGCTGTGAGAGATTTTCTGCATGGCCCACCTGAGCATATTTGTGATGCACGATGCCAAGTGCCAATTAATGAGGCCATCGTGTATGAGCTCGAGTATGCGGAGGCTATGATGAAGGAGAAGTGTCAGCCGGGCAGGCTGACGATATTCCAGCGAACACTCAAGATTTTGAGACATGTTGCGAGATTCCATGATACCGATCGTGCAGCATTTGTGTTGACATTTGCAGCCGCATGTCCCGATGAGCATCTCGAGATGCTGCGCAGTGGAGACTCTCAGGCTAGAGTGATTCTTGGACTTTACGCGGCTCTTCTCGACTGTCTCGATGTGCGGTGGTCGAAAGGATATGCACAAGATCTCATGATCGAAATGGCTGCCAATCCGGCGACATCCCGGCATGCCGCGATGCACCAGAGATGGCGAGATCTGATGATAAGGCTGAGGGAGAGAAAGGTGAGTGTATCGGCATAGATAGACGAGCGCAGAAGGGGTAAAATTGCAATCAACGGATGCGGGTAGAGAGGGTATGAGCCAACAGAAGGCGCTCAATCGCCTCACGCCTTGAATGCGGCCGCGACCTGATTACTCTCTCGGCCCTCGGGTCTGCGGGCGTACACAGATATGCTCGTCATGGGCTACGGCTTCCTGTAAGATACGTTCGAAGGCTTCACGCCCACCATATACTAATGCCTCGCGGACATTGAAGGATCCAGATCTGCAATTCGTAGCAGGCGGGACATGGCGGTTCTCGGACTGGATGGCAGAAACGATGTGAGTTGAAGGAAGGAAGATGGTCGGCGACTCAGATATCAAGTTGACGCGTATGCAGCCCAGGCTTGGCAAGAGAGCCGTTTCAACTCTATTCACCCTGGCCTGGTTCCTGAATCTCGGCTCAGCAACACGGAGCCACACGGATCTGCTTCACATCCTCCACGAAGATCTCTACAATGACAATGCGACCGAGCAGGAAGTGCTGAGGCAACACGATCTCGCGGACCATCGCGAACCCACTCTTTACCATGCGCAATGCGCTCTCACCAACATCTTCACCTCTCCTTCATTTTCCTATTTCTGTCTTTACTGGTAAACAATGCCTGGGCAATTGGAGTTGAGATCACATCTCCTTCGGGAGGAGGAACATGGCCTGCGGGTCCCATAACCGTAAAATGGGTGGATGGAGGAGGAACGCCTAATATGGCTCAACTTACAACATATGTTCTGGAGCTTCTTGTGGGAGGAAATCTTCCAAGCAATTCCAAAGTCATCGCGACGCTCGGAGGTGGACACGGCAAGATACAAGATGGGAGCGTCGAGGATCAAATCGTGGCGGATGTGGCACAGAGTATTGAGAACGGATTCTACTTTCGCATGACCAGCAACACTTCCAGTGGAAACCAAGTCATTAATTACTCGAATCGCTTTACATTGATCAACCTCAATGGCACGACCGACTCCCGTTATCTGGATGGCGCCAATGCTGTGGCAGGTATGGACGACGTGCCTTCTTCGCAGTACAACCAGATTGCACGACCGTCTACTACCAGCGGCTCTCCATCTTCTGCATCTCCGACCAGCATCGCAACTACCACGACCACTGCAACCGCGACATCGCAGCCATCATCGGACGACGACTTGACTACTGGAGTCAAGGTTGGCATCGGCGTTGGCGCCTGTCTAGCTCTGATCGGAGTCATCAGTCTTTTCGGATGGGCGTACGTATTCTGGAGACATAAGAAGAGGAAACAACAACATCAAGCACAGCACCCTCTGAACTCGGCGCGGGTGTCCAAGTATAGCGCAGGCGCATTCCTTGGCAACAAAGTCGAGCTCCCGACAGAGCATGCCGAATCGTCGCGATCACGTCTCGAACTAAGCCCGACCGATGAGCGCTACGAAGTACATGGCTCGAACAAACCTGCCGAAGCTGCAAGAGCTAGTATTTATGAGCTGGAAGGGGATTGGTCGGGCTGGGAGGCAGGGAATGGTAGGAAAAGCAAGGCGTATGATCCCACTGCGATGTAAATGTAATAGAGATATGATAGTACTGGATACAGATGACATAATGAACAGACCTACATATTGTATGTGCCAGCCTTCTCAATGGCTGTGGCCTCGCATTCAGCCAAACAGAGACCTGAGCGCTCTTGGAGACGCACGCCGGAAATTCTGCCATCACTTGGTCGTAACGAGGGCGACGGCTATGATGCATCTTACGAGGCAACGACATACTGTCACAGCTGAGACAAGCCATAATGTGTGCCTACCATATGAGCTTCTTAAATGAGGGGCAGTCATTCGCGTTGGAACGTGAAAGGACCTACTTGCTTCGGCCTCTTCAAGGCAACCAGAGGTACCTACAACCTGGAAGCTGCGGAGCATCATTACTTGAAGTGTGTGTGTTCGATTGTTGATTAAGTGTCTACGGAAAAAGCGAGAAGTCGCTAAATAGGGTGCCGCGTGTGTGCACGGACCTAGGCACATGCCTCAGGATTCAACTCACCCCCTCGTGTATATGCAAGGCACGTTGGTAAATACAAAGTCGCTCAAATCAAACAAAGAGGTATCAGTCAATAGCCCAGGCTTCTTGCCCTTACAATGGCCATTTAGTCAGTCAATAGCCTAGGCTTCTTGCCCTTACAATGGCCATTCAGTTCAGTCAGTAACCCAGGCTTCTTGCCCTTAGATGGTTGTTCGGTTTCAGCAACCCAGGCTTTATGCCCTTCATTGGTTGTTCAGTCAATCAGCAACCCAGGCATCTTGCCCTTCATTGGTTGTTCAGTCAATTCAGCCGCCGCACCCCCTGCTTCCAGCAGATAGGTGTTGATTGCGGTTCAGTCAGTAGCCACGACACCCCCTGCTTCTTGCAGGTGGGTGCTTAAAGCAGCCGTTCAGTCGTGGTTCAGTCGTGTCAGGTTTATCGTATCAGGTTCAGTCGTTCAGAAGGCCCAGCTCTTGCCAGTTGCTAGCTCTGAACCAGGTCGAGGGTCATTCTCTGGTACAGCAATAGCCAAATTGGCGGCTTGTTGGTTGAGATTTTCTTCTTGCAGTAGTCGCAGTACTGCTTCTTAGTGTTCTTGTTGTCGGTGTTCTTGTTTAGTTTGCGAATGCCGCCAGTCGCGACAGTCGCAGTGGTCGAGTCGGAAACGGCCATCTTGGCTGTTCAATTGTCGGTCTTGGTTAGGTCTTGTTCGCACCCCCTGCTTTGCGCAGGAGGGTGTTCAGTCTTGATTAGGTCTGCGGTAGCAGTCGAGGGCTCATAACCACTTGAAGTGTGTGTGTTCGATTGTTGATTAAGTGTCTACGGAAAAAGCGAGAAGTCGCTAAATAGGGTGCCGCGTGTGTGCACGGACCTAGGCACATGCCTCAGGATTCAACTTCATTCTATCCTGTGGTATTGCCGATCACCATGAGGCTTGATCCTTCCGGACCCCGATAGGATTTGCGGTTTACATGCTGGAACTTGGGCGCGCAACACCAAGACATTCACCTCTATGGACACGAACGTAGAAGCAGATCCGGAGACACAACTTTCAGACTCTCTTCGATGGATTCGGCACAAGCTCGTCATGAGTTCCACGAATACGTAATGCGAGGGTCGTAAAAGGAAGAACGCTGGTACGCGAACGACAATGAAGAAGCTTCCGAGCGGACGGGAAGTCTACAAGAAGAAGAGCCTGAGAAGAAGAAGGTAGGTTGGAGCTTAGGGTCAGGTTCGATAATGATACATGAAGTACCGACTTCAAGGTATGACGCTCAGGTTGTTGGAATGGTTTCTCGGTGGTCTTGTTGGATTGTTAGGCCATTTTGAGCCGTGTCTGACGGCATATGGTGAAGCGAGAGATCGATTGTTTGTTCCTTGGTTGCCGGGATGTTTGAAGTATACAGCAGTCGCAGAAAAGTGTATGGCAAAATGCTAGGCCTGTGCCGTCCCTTCACACCATGCAAGAGGCGAGTCTGGACAGCTTACAGACGATGATCTATGATACGTGAGTGCGAGTGCATTGAAAATCTCCATCGCAGTGTTCCTCTAGTCATTCTGACTGTCCTGATCATCGCATATATCGATCATTAAAGTACGGAGCCAAGCCCGCAGGCGAAGCCAAATTTCATTGACGACATGGATGCGAGCACCTCTCCAAAGTCCGGCCGAGAACCTCTTTCGCTCTACACCTAAGCTCCTGCGGTGATACAGAATATCGATTCATGACAATGAGCTGACGCAGACACTTGATTTCCTTCACGCTGTCTTTCACATCTCTCTACCACCTCCCGCGACGAATAGCGCGGACGACAGGAACATGCTCCCTCGGTAGCATCAAGGTGGGCCGGGCGGCCAGCAGAGAGAGCTTCTGTACTTCACTACAACAACATATTTCTATACCAATACGCGATCGGACGAGAAAGGGAATAGACTTGCGACAGAAGCGGGCATATGCGCAAGGGACTCAAGCAGAAGAGAAGCTCAGACAGAAGCAAGAGTCGGATATCAGAAAAGCAATGTCCGCGGCAGACATTCAATATGCGCCGCAAAGAGATGTGCCTTCGAAGCACATACATATCCTAGGCACCGGAAGCATTGGCAAATTGGTTGCGCATGCGCTAAGAGGAATACCGATCCGCCGCCAGTGACGCTCTTACTGCATCGAGCCCAACTCCTCTCGGCGTGGAATTCAGGCAGGAAGGTTATCACTGTGCAGGACGGAGACGACGTAATTGCAAGAGGCGGATTCCGCGTGGAATTTTCGCCACCATATCGAAGACAGCATGGAGTCGTAGTCGAGGATGGCAGTCCTGAAATATTCGATATGGCTGACCAAACAGGCATGAAGCCACACGAGGTCGCAAAGATAGTTCAGCAGCAACGCAGAGAGGCTGGCGATGAAATGAGCTCGCCATCCGGATCCAGATCTGTGGATAAAAGCGATCCAAACTACCGCAAAAGATCTGGCGACGAAGCGATCTCGAACGAGCCCATATATAACCTCATTGTCACCACGAAAGCTCCTCGCACCATAGCGGCGCTGTTGTCAATCAGGCACCGCATCACCAAAGAAAGCACTATATGCTTCCTGCAAAATGGAATGGGAATCGTGGAAGAGGCGAATAAGGAAGTGTTTCCAGACGAGAGCACGCGCCCAAGCTATGTTCAAGGGATCATATCTCATGGCGCCAATGTTCCGCCGAGCAAAGCTGAAGAGGATCCATTCTTTGTTGTGCATGCAGGCCACGGAACTGTCCAGCTTGGCGCCATACCGCGACGCACTACAGGCTGGAGAGATGATGCGAAGCCGTCTGGTTTTGGCACTGAAAATCCAGGGAAGCTTCCCGAGAGTCAGCTTGACAACGAGGTGTCGCCAACTGGGCGCTACATCATACGGACCCTCACGCGGACACCTATACTGGCAGCCGTGGCCTTCACGCCGATCGAGCTCCTTCAACTCCAGCTTGAGAAGCTCGCGATCAACTCTGTCCTGAACCCGATGACAGCACTCCTCGACGACCGCAACGGCACCATACTCTACAATTTCGCGCTCAGTCGCGTAATGCGACTCCTACTCGCCGAAACCTCCCTCGTCATCCGCTCCCTACCCGAACTTCGCGGCCTGCCAAACGTCCCACATCGCTTCGCATCCGACCGACTAGAGGGACTTGTCGTTGCTGTCGCGAACAAGACGCGGGACAATATCAGCTCAATGTTGGCAGATGTGAGAAGAGGCGCGCCGACGGAGGTCGAATACATTAATGGGTACATTGTGAAGCGTGGAGAAGAACTGGGCATCAAGCCCGTCGTGAATTACTCTTTCATGCAAATGGTGATTGGAAAGCAATTTATGGTGAAGAGAGAGATGGAAGATGAGGTTCCGCAGACTACGGACCATAATCGGGAGTAAGATGTGAATACGGCTGTATAGAATTGGACCTGTACATAATCAGGCGAGAAAGTGGCATTCGAGAATAGAGTTCAAGCACAAGTGAATGTTCCGGCTTCGGATCAGACGCCGCAGAGATCCCCTTGGTGAACTCGTTGCCTCGCGGCGTTCGTCGGCAAAACAGGGTATTAACTATGTCGTGTCCATATAGTTAGCAATTAGTATGCCGCCTTGCAGGTAAATAATAAGGCTCCTATTAGACTCGTTTAGCATGTAACTATGCCTCTTCTAGTGCCGCCGCACTTAGAGACTAGATTTCTAACTCTTAAAGGTTTAAACCGTAAAGTTAAATACACTTATTTAGCACTGCTAATAGACCGCTTTGTAGCGACTGTTGCTAATATAGAAGAAGTTAATAAGGAAGATAACGACGAAGGGTAGTTATAGTAGGTAGAAGAGGCGTATAGTAACCTAATTAAGTACGACGACTATATCTATTCGTCGACAAGAGGTCCGGTAGTTAAGCTAGTAGCAAATGCGGCGCCTCGGGGGTTAGAACAAGAGCCGTTTATTACTAGAAATAAGGACGATATAATAGAGGCTATTAGTATAGACAATCGAGTAGGAGGGTTGTATTATCTAGCGGAAGGAGACACTAATAAGGTGCCCTTCGTGCTATTATAAGGCATTAAATATAAGCGGAAAGTGTGCTTACCTTTGCACCTATAAGGTAACCTATTAGAGGTTAAGAACGTATAGTATAAGTTCTTTAACCTTCTATAGACCGACGAGGTTATTAATAGGCTAGTCAAGTATACTAATAAGTATACTAAGAGCCGAGAGGAGTTCAAACTAGATACGGCTAGAAATCTACGGATCGATAGTAAAGGGAACCTATAGATCTTCGTATCTAGATATCTATAGAAATCGGTAGGGCGTAAGGATATAATAATCTTCGTAGCCCTAATCGTCTATATATTAGCGATCTAAATAGCCGATAAGTCGGATTACTAGAGGGACGACAAATACTAGCCTATCTATCTAATCGCTAATTATATAAGCGAGTAGCGTTTCCGATAAATTAAGGCCGCTCTATAGTATAGAAGTCCTATTCTAAGAGGCTCTAGACTGCCTACGTAGGCGTAGATATTACTATTAGCCGACCTATTACGAGAGAGGTTTAAGACTATAGTTATACCTAGTACTAACTTATCGCTTAACGAGTCTATAATCCGCTTTATAGGACAATCTAGCTATATTATAATAATGCGAGGCAAGCCGACACTAATTAGATACTATGTCCTTTGCCTATACGAGGGTAGGTACCTATATTCCTTCCTATTCTTAAGCCCTCGAAAGCAATACTCTTAGGAAGCCGAAACGGACGAATTCGTAAGCCGAGTCCTCGAGAGGTATATTATAGTCCGCGAGTAGCCTACTATCGCCGAGGCCGCCGACCGCGCAAAGGAGAGTAATAAGAAGCGTCGAGATAGGCTTAATAAGCTTACTAGGGGAGGTAGTTGTAATAGTTTAAGTAGTATCTACGAGATCGAGGAAATTAATATCGACTTTTACGTACCTGCCTTATAAGGACTAAGCGAGCCTAGCGCTATCTAACCGACTAACTACACTTACGGACTAGACCTTAGTACGCGGCTAAGTCCGCTAAGAATTGTAGTCCTTCGACTATTACTATAACTTCCTTTCTAGATATACTTCTTCTATATCTATATAGATAATCTATTTAATAATATAGTCCTATTTGCGATATTAAAGTATCTCGGTATTACTGCGAGTAGCACTATACGGTCTAGTTCCTTATCGTAGCCTTAGAAAGGTGCTAAATTCGAGAAGTTAGGCTAAATCCTAAAGTCTAGCGCGAGGAAGAAATCGACCTTTATACTACTAGAACGTAAGACGACTCGTTTCCTATTCGATATACTACTATACAAGGTAATTTATAGCGTAGCCGCGATTATCTAGTAGGATAGGAATCTCGTTTAATTCCTTACGAATGCTATCGACCCTCGAAGCCGTAAAACCTATACCCGAGTACGCCTACGAGCCTATAATAACGCCTTTATCGATACCTACGTACGGCCTTACTAGAAAGAAGAACGCGAACCTAAGCAAATTCTAAAGATCGCGGCTCTCTATAATAATTATATAGGTAGTATAGATATCTACGATTAGCTCCGGTTCTACTATTCTTCTTAGTATAAGTCGAGGAAGGGCTAGTATCTGCTCTTCTATTTCCTACTAGACGCTACTATTGTTAACGTATTTATACTTCTTCGAGGCGATAAGAAGTATAAGGACTTTACTTACTAAAGAGAGTTTCGAGTTAAACTAGCGTAGTAAATAGTATAGAAGGCGTAGAGCGAGAAGAATAGCCGCCTCGCTATAGAGGCGGCAGCGAAAGCTGCTTGTATACTAACACCTCTACTGCCTAGGTAATAAGGCTAGTTTATCGCAGGTTATACCTATAATATAAGCGGAGCTCGATAGAAGCGCTATTAAATTAGGAAGGGCGATAGTCTTCCTATAGCCGAAGAATCTCGTCGCCTCGCTCGTAGTAGTAACGCTATATATACCTAGAAGCCTATTCTTAAGCGCTAACGTTACTATCTCTATAAGCATATAAGGACCGCTTAGGGGTTTAAATATTAGCCTCTTAATAAGAAGGATAAACACTATTTAATATACGCCTACTTATATTATAGTCCTATCGCCTTATATAAAGCATATAACTTAATATAGTATAACTAGCCTAATCTATATACCTTCTTCGAGAGTTTAAAGCCGGATCTAGTAACCGCCGGCGGTTTAACCTCTAACGATTAACAATACTCGCTATTACCGACAAGTTAGCTTTATAGCCGGCACTTAAGGTATACTACGTCTTTATAAGCGAGGTAATCGTCTCTTCTAGCCGTCTAACCTTTAACTTAAGCTGTTTAAACTAGTGCTAAAGTGCCTTAAACTCCGCCCTCTTAATAACTATTACCTTACTTCGAGAGCCTTCTTCGGCGGAGCTAGCTACTAGTAGCGACTCCTTAACCTCCTTTTTCTATAGAAGGTTTACGTCTACCCTTAAGTCCCTTACTACCTCCGCGAGACGGTTAACCTTCGCTATAAGTAGACTAATATTAAACTACTTCTTAAGTAGACTCGGCGGTTTAAGCAGTACTAGAAGTGTATCGTTACTAAGCTTATAGCGACTTAGTCGACAGTATATACGAGATAGCCGAGACTCGGTTATTATTAGTAGCTAATTAGTTATTAGAAGGTCTTAATCTACGGTCTATAGTCTATATACCTACCTCGGTAGCGTTCTTAGTACTTCTATTATATGCCTTCTTCTATACCTTCTCGTAGACCTTTACTTACTAAGGTTTGATAGCTATAGAGCCTTTAGCTATAAAGGACGACTCGTAAAGGTATCGGCTTCTTAACCCTAAGCTCTACTACGGCTAGATCCGAGACCTAATCGGACAGTTTCGCTATTCGAGGGGCGATGTAGGTTTGTATAGGGCTATACTACATTTAGCATTAGAAGTAGAACCCGACAAGGGCAGAGCTAGGGTAAGTGTTCAACGGAGATAACCACGGAGGCGGTTAAAGGGATGCAGCGAATCCTGCTTGATGCAAAAGTGACGCATGCCCACAAAGCAGGGATTCGAAGCAGTCCCTTGCTGCTGAGATATCCACTTGCAGCGTGATGGCGCGATGGGTCCACTGACGAGAATACCGGCGCCAGCCACAAAACCAGTCCAACCGAAGCGAAGCTGTCGAAACATGCACTCCGCGTTTGCATCTGCACCACGCATATATCTGTGACGAGGGCCGATTGTTCTGGACTGGACTTATCTTTGCTGATTGTATCTGTCGACGGACTTGCTTTTGAGGTCTCTGCTGCACTTTAATCCTCTTCGACAGAGCAGGACGAAAAAGAGCTTCAGCTTTCTTGACTCAACATGGCAACCACAACTGCGGATGCTCGTGAAAGACATAGAATCAGCAACATTTTCGCGACTGGACGACCCACCAATGTCCCCGTGAAACGCATCTTCGCACCTGGAAAGAGAATGCAAGCAGCACCGACTTCCGCTGTCTCTCCTGTACAGGAGCCCAACACGACCCAAGACTCGCTCTTCGACGGCTCCCTTCCTAGCTCCTGGACCTTCTCTCAAGATACGCAAACCGTCAGTCGTGAAGCATATGAAGAGAACCAACGCCTTCGTGCCGAGGAGAAAGCAGAGCAAGAAAGAGAACTTGAACCCTCTCCCTCTCCCGCTCCACCGCCACCACCACCACCACAACCCAAACCCTTACCATCATCGCGAAGATCCCATCAAAACCCTTCGTCCACTCTATCCCAACAGTACATGCAACGAGCACTGAAAAGCAACGAAAAACGCGACCTTCAAGATCCAGATTATCAAGAACAAGACGACATCACGACCCCAAAACGACAATACGTAACTCGTTCACGAACTTCTGCGAATGCAAATGTCTCTTTTAACGACGAGCACGAGCATCGTCATACCCCGCCATCACCATCATCACGCATGGAAGAAGAAGAAGAAAGCATAGACGAAGATTCGAGTTCCGGACCCGATGAAATCCCAGCAATCTATCAAGACGTTCCAACTTCTTCGGCACAACGACGCGTGGTGGTGGTGAAAAGCAAACCACCTAGAAAATCTCCCCCTTCGAAGAAAAGTAACGATGAGCGTCGTCGGACGAAGAAACAAACCTCAAGACTTTCTCCCGTTCCTCAACGCCCCACACAGACCGAAGAGGAAAATTTCCTGGGTTTGGGAATGGAAATCGATTATTATCATCAAAGTCCAGATTCGGATTCGGAGCGAAGGTTCACAACAACAACCCCACGACGAGTTCCTCAAACAACAATACCTTCACACACGACTCGACCAGACGTGAGTTCACGCTCGGACGAAGAATTAGTCCGAGATTTACGAGCTGCGAGGGCAGGACTGGAGCGCGCGGAGGCAAGGACGAGGAAAGCGATGGCTGCGGAACGGGAGGCGTTGGATCGGAAAGAGAAGATTTGGGCGGAGATGGAGAAGAGGTTTGCTTGTGCTAGTCCGAAGAGGGGGATGATGTAGGGGGCTTTCAATTGTGGCTGTAAAGAAGAGGCGATTTGCTGGAAGAATTTGAACGCTCCCTTTCTTTCTAATAGCTAGCTAGGGGTTTTATGGGGAGTTATCGTCGTCGTCGCCGAAAAGCGAGGCGAACTTGTCCTCGATAGTGGATGGTAGGATCTCGAACTCGGGCTCATTAGCATCGCCGCCGACCTCGATTGTCTGGGCAATTGATTCTTCCTTATTTTCGCCCGGGAACTGATTGTCGGGGATAGCACTCAGTATACCTGACTCGGGAGGCGAAGCGTGTGATCCGATATCTGTGGTTAGACTCTGGGGTGAGGATGTTTTCCACATTGATTCGATAGTTTGAGCGGCTGGCTTTCTATTCACCGGCAGAGCCTCGTGCAGACCTGCGAGTTCGAGTGAAGCAGATCGAGATTGTGTTCCTTCCGAAGCTGGCATTGATGCTTTGCGCGACTGATCAGTGCTGATCAGGAGCTCATCTGACTTCGTGTTACCTCCTCCACCAATGCCAGTGCTCTTCCCGAAAATACCAAGTACATCGCCCTCCTGCACATTACCAGCTTCAGTGCTAAGACTCGTCTCAGGCAAAGACGGCAACTCGAAATTGTCTCCGAGTAAGTCGATGCGCTGCTTCTCAGCTGCCTTGGATTTGGATTTCGTTGGCACAGTCGGTCTAGGCGTAGCCGAAAGCGAGGACTTGGTCTTTCCCTTAGTGGCAATCTGGCCGAGCTCACGAGCGAAAATCCACGGGAACGACATGAAAGGCATGGTCTTGAAAGTCAAGGCCCGCAATGGCACGTCTCGTCCGCCTTTCTCCCGCATGATTTTCGTCTCGTCGTGGGCAGTCTTGACTTCTTCGGCCGTGACTTTGTACATGGCAACGATGAAAAGTTCCAGCTGCTTATCGTCCTGCTCTTTCTGCTTAGCTCGAGCTTTGACGATGGAGAATATGTCGTCGCCATGCTTCGCCGCTTCCTTGTTCGAGCTTTTGATGCCAGCTTTCTCCTTGCACCGCTCACGATGCTCTTCTACAAGCGCAGTGACAATCGCGCCGATGGTCTCGGAAAACTTGTAGTCGCCAATCTCTTGGTGATGATCGAGTACAAATGTGGTCCAGATCTCGAACTCGGTCTTGATGCCGTGCTGGGTCATAATACGCTGAATGGCTTCATCGTACTCTGCTTTGACCTCGCGTGCATCCGCAAGCATCCGGTCACTAGGCTCGCAGGCAGTCAGAATGCGCTGGTCAAAAGGCAAATCCCAGGCGGCGTGGAAGGGTTCCTTCTTCACTTCGTCGTACAGCTTGCCAAGGACCCGATTCGAGTGATAGATCTTCGACTTTGATTTGTTCTTAGGCTCAGACCAGTGTGGCCACTTCTGCACTTTGAGGCCAGGCGTCATGACTGCAGGCACACCAGTCTTTGGGTAATCGACTGCCTTAGAGTGAAGCTGGGCAAGCTCAATGCACTTTGCGTCCTTGACACCATCCGCGAGCTGATCTGCCCAGTAGCGGTGAGCGACTGCGATACTGCTAAGGTTGTCATTCTTGATGTGCTTGACGAAGAACGTAGTCATGTCGTCCACGCTCACTGGACCATCGCTGGTGACTGGATCAGGTGAAGTATAGTCCATCGGTGGGTGACTAGCTCCGTGAGGTATGAAGTTAGGGTCCCAAATCACCATGAAGTCGTCTCCATCAAGATCGCCTCCCGAGCACATATTGGCGAGATCACGATCGCCGGTCGTAGGTATGACAACCACATCGCGCAAGTGATGGAGCTCGGGCTTGTCGACAGCGCGGACTTTGCGAACGTCTCCAGGATGTAGCGAAGGGTTGCGTGCGAGGATGCAAATGCTTAGAATGACTCGGTACTTGCCAGGTGCATCAGGATCGGGCACCTGTAGAAAGATCTCAGGCAAGTCTTCGTCTGATGCAATTTCATCACTTCCGGCATCGTGCTCATCTGAGGTATCAGCGTTGTCGCTGTCGGCTGATACTGGCTTGTCGTAATGTCCACGTAGGGTTCCGGTCTCGTCTGGGACCGCAAGCCCAAAGAATCCCTGCTCAACATATATGCGAGCCTTCTCCTTGAGGTATTTCAAGCACCACGATCGCCAAAGCCGCAGGCAAGTGATCATGAACGGGTCCTTCGTCTCCATGAATCCGTCAAAGATCATGGTGGCGAGCAAGATGGTGGTCTGGCTGTAGTCGATATTCTTTTGCAGCAGCTCCAAAGCTTTGCGTTCATCCGACATTGCCTCTTTGATGTCCACTAGCATGGCTCGCATCTTGCCTAGGAAGACTTCATCGTCAATCCCGAGAGCAGATAACACCAGGATGATCTGCATGTTCAGATTTGCGGTGCTGAATTGGGAGATTCTGCAGATTTCCAGACCATGGTACTCGGCTGGAAACTTCTCTTGACTCGGACGGATCTGAATCGCAAAGCCCTTGAGGGCAGGATCAACAGCAAGGACACCTTTGCAACCTGCGAGACGGAATTGCACTGCTGAAGGGAAGTTCTCCTCAGAGTTCGGCACGTTGTGGTGAAGAGCGATCATACGAGCCAGAAAAGGAGACATCGTACCAGCGCCGTCGGTGAAGCAGTAGCCATTACGCTCAATGTCAACGCTACGACCCAGATCGACCTTGTGTGGAATAGCTCTCGTTGTCGAAAAGCATTGCCCAAGTCGTGAGACATATTTCGCGATCACTCTGATGTGGGAGAACCGGCCCATCCACTCGCGAATCATTTCTGCGGTGAGCTTCTCGGTAGGGGCGAAGAAGTAAGCTCCATGTTCACGAAATTGTGAGTTGCCAAATGCCAGGAATTCGTAGTGTCGGTCGCCGATCTGAATGCCGTGGGTCATGGTGCGCTTGATGCGGGAGAACACTTCGTTCATGCGATTGTCATCAGAAGACCAGATCTTGCCCTTGTATCTCTCATCAGTGAATTTCACACGCAGGAACCGATCCTCGTAGTCTTTAAATTGACGAATGACACGATTAGATGTCTCGCGGACCATGGTGGCGGCGTAGATGGTTGAAGGTGTCACAACAACGGAGCCAATTTCGGTGCAGTAGTCCGGCTTCTTCTTCGTCACCACTGATACTTGGTTCTGGAGCCGGAAAATGGTCATCGGTTCGTACACGCGCTCCTTGTTGTCTGCAACTTTCTCGAGCACCTTCACAGCGCGTGTGAGATCCATCTCAGCGAGGCGCTTCAAGAAGTCCCGGTCAATATTGCACTCAAGGAGGAGCCCTAAGCTTAAGCAGACTTCCAGCTGGTAGCGCAACTTGAATGGCAGGTAGTGTAAGGATTCGGTCAGTGCTTCGAGCGCAGAGAAGGACCTCTCCACAACTTCGTTGCTGGTCGGCTGGTCATCGCACCAGCTCCAAATCTCACTGGGCTGGCTGTAAGTGAAAGTGAAGCTCTTGTCCCTGGCTAGTACGATGTTGTGGCCAGCAAGGGCTTGGCAGAAGTTTTTGTAGTCTGCTGATGCGACTGCTCCTGCGCTGAACTTCAGGCGATAAGTCTTCCATCGTCCAAAGTCAACAAGGCAGTTCGTCTTGCGCAACTCCACTGGACGATCTCTCGATCTAGGATCGTCATCAATGTCCGTCTGTCGGAACCATACACGGCTCTCGTTCCATGACAAGCTTTCATTATCGTGGGTCGCCCGGATGTTGGTGCTCTTTCTGAACGCCAGCGGTGGGTTCTCGAGCGTAAGGATGATCGAATGAGACCCATCCTGTTGGACCAAATGGAAAGCCTGCGTCACTTGAGCAGTGTTTATCTGGAATCGGAATGCTCGGCCTTTGACTGAGAAGCTCAATTCAATCTCCTTGAACTGCAGGTTCATGGCGATCTGGGTGGTGATTGATGGGACAAGCTCCGCAGAGTGCAAAATCAGGTATTCAGATTCACCCTTCATCATGCCGAAATCAAGCTCATTCACTGGAACCACCATACGCTCTGGGACTTGCTTGGTGGGATCATGTGGGCTTTGATGCATGAACAGCGGTTGAGTGCCGTTTCTTGTCTCAATGACGCGCTGGTGGCCGTCTGGATCTGAGACATTGAGAGGTCTTCCGACCCATGAAATGTCCTTCGGAGCCGGCTGAAAGATGACGGCGGCATTGAGGTCAAGCGTGCGTCGCTCACGAATGATCACGTTGGTGACATTGCCGTAGATGCGGAAGAAGTCGTAGATGTCCCAAGTAGTCCACGATCTTGGCACTTTTTGAAGGTCCACGCGAAGCTCCAGAGCATTCGGTGGACCCCTGCCAGGCCGTGGTGGATTGGGCCTTGGTCGTGACTGCTGTGTTGGTGCGGCGGCCTGGCGAAGTGTCGGAGCAATGAATGGTCTGGATGTTTGGAGGTTGGTGTGTGTTGGGCTGGTCTCAGCGCGTTGGCCTTGGCGATATGTCGCTCGAGGTTCCTTCGAGTGAGGTGGTGTTGCTTTGGAAGAAGCCGTGCGCGATGCAGTGCCTACCGAACCTGCGTCTGAGCGAGGTGGCGTCGGTGGAAGAAGGTCTTCGAAAGCCATCCCGAAGAGTCTGGCGCGGCTCTGCTCGAAGGTAGGTATGTGTCGTGTTGGCTGCGACAAGGTCGAAGGAAGAACAGAGGTAGTGGCTGCGATAGAGCCGAAGTAGAAGGGAAGAAGTGAAGTATTGGCTCCGATAGGGCCGAAGGAAGAAGTGAAGTATTGGCTCCGATAGGGCCGAAGGAAGAAGTGATGTGTATAGAAAGTGCAGTGAGCCTCAAGTTGTCGCATGCAGGGCAGGCACGACCGCACGGCTTTCGTTGCGGCTTTCAATGCCTGGGCCTGAGCGATGGTGTTGCAGTTGTCTGTGTATGCTCGAAGTGAGAACATCCAGAGTCGTGTTGGAATCGCTCGTTTGTTTGCATATGCAAACTGTGCAACCTCACCTGCAGGGACCCGAGCCGGCGGCAGACGTTGCGTCTCACATGGTCGCTCGCATAGATGCACGTAGCCGTGGCCGCGGAAGACGTTGAAAGGCATCTGCATGGCTTGGTAGTAGTAGTGACAGCGGTGGAGCAAATGGGCCTCGTGTATCTAAATGTATCAAGTGCATAGGCATGATGATCGTAAGTCCTTGGCGCCAGAGTGGCCTGAATCGTCCTTTTTGCCAGTATCGTCCTGTGCGCCAGCATCATCTCCGTTCTGGTCATCGTCCTGCTGCTGTTCTAATGCATACTTTCTAGCCATGACATGTGACATTGCGACCGGTGGCTTCCTCTTGTATCCTTTTCTCTGCCGATTCAGCTCCCGTTCCAGCGCTGCCGAGAGGCGATCAATCAGCCATTCAGCTTCACTTTTTGTGCTCAGCAGTGGACTCTTGTCCGACAACCATGACCAGTCGCCGAGCGGATCCTCAGTCGGCCGCCTGCGTAGCCTGCGCTTTTTCTTGCGCTCTCCTTTCTGCTCCTTTTCGGCCGCCACAGTCTCGTCACTCGTGGAAACATCCTCTCTTTCTCCGCTGCCGTCATTTCCGCCTTGGACCGGAGTGTTATTTGCGCGGGAAAATGCGCCTGGCGAAAAGGGCTCCTCGGGCTGTCTTAGAGCGTCAGGCACCAGTACACTCGGATGCTTCTGGCCTGGAAAACGTGGCACATCGTCCCCATTTTCGCTTCCAATCAGTCGTAGATAGTACTCCCAGTCGTGCCAGGAGTATTGCTTTGGTGGCGAGTCGTTCAAGTGTGCCTGTAGTGATCGAATCTCACGAGAGAGGATGTAGTGATAGAAGTGGATGTCTCTCTCGAGTGTATCGTCCTCGGCATCGGCCGACAACGCCGCTGCCAATAAAATTAGTTCAGCTTTCACACCAGAACCGGCATCTCTTACCTTCCAATTCCTCTTGTGCAATGTGTCTTTCCAATTTCTCCGCGAGGCGCATCATTGCTCTCTCACCATGGTCTGCCGGGGACATTTTATTGTCCTTCTTCTTCGGATCCTTATCCGCCATGCCCAGTATTCCCGGTGCAGTGAAGCTGCCAAGCATTTCTTGGATCATGGATCGTACACCTTTTTGTTCGGGTAGCACAGTCACTGTCACACCCGTCAGCCTTGAACGTGCTCCTGATTGTGCTGGGCATACCAGACGCCACCCAGTTCGTGACATCGGTGAACCATTTCACGAACGTGTCACCCATGTTGGAGATCAGAATTGTGAGTGATGGTACCGCGAGAAGCGACCAAATCACGAAGAAAGCTTTCCCAGAATTTGAAGACGGCGTCAAATCTCCGTAGCCAATTGTCAAAAGAGAGGTGAAGGTGAAGTAGACGGACTGAAAGTACGTCCACTTTGTTTCGTCTCGCACTCCTTGAATACGACGGCACCGAGCAGCCAGAGTATGATAGCGAAAAGCCTGCGCAGCACCGTTGGGATCAGCATAGGTATTGATCGTTCAGAAGCCGAGCACTTACAAAGACACAGAAAGCGAGAAGTATCGTCGTTCTGCATCTGCTGCAGCCTGGACTTTTCGCACAACGTTGAATTCCTCCTCTCGGCGTTGCGCTGGAGATAGAGTTGAATCTGTGCTGAATTCCGCACTCGCAAACCATGAAATCTTGATGGTCTGCCTTCGCGCATCAACGTTACTGATTGCGCATTCTCGACGCTTCTCTGTAATGCGAGCCGCCATCTACACTCTATCAGCTTGGCCGCTTGATCTTCCGACGCCAACTGCCAACCTTCTCCTTGCCTCTTTCAAGGACAAGAGACCTGATGCTCCCAACAACCAGACCGACCATCAGAATGCCACCAATCGCAAATGGGAACAGCAGTCCTCGCCCGACTGCGGTCTGAGGACTGTAGTCGCCAAGACCGACTGTGAGCAAGGTCGTGTCTGCCCAGTAGACGCTGTCGAGGTATTTCCAGCCTTCGATCTCGCTGAAAACGAGTGCGCCGAGTAGCAAATAGCCAACAAATGACATGGTCTGCAAGAGTCAGTTTGTGCTCAGGCTATTCAAGAAGCACCGCTTACCTGAAGCATCAACGTTCGCTGTGGAGAGGTCAAGTTAAAGCGCTTGTCATAGTAGCCCTTATTTGCGCCATACACCGTCAAGCACATCAGAAATCCAATGATCATGTAAATCGCAGCTGCAAAGATTGCATAGTAGTAAGCGCTCGTCAGCGCATGCCTTTCGCTCGGTATCGCTCGAGGCTCTGCGATATAGTAATGACTTCCTGAGTTGATGGCCGCCATGTCCGCAATCAGCAGCACGCCCGCCAACAAAAAGCCTGTAATCGTGATAGGCTGTGCCGTGGAAAACTTGACCCTCTTCGCCATGTTCAGTAGCAGAGACGAATTCCCAGTCAGAGCCGAGACAAGCGAGGCGGCGTTCACAGCTAGCAGCCAAGCTGGATCCTGCATCTTGATGCCATCAGCCTGGGTAGCGCCGGGCGGTATGTATGCTCTCCAGGAGTACACCAAAGCGCAGATACTGAAGCCGTTGGCAATGGGACCGAAGGTTGCTGCGAGGAGAGGGCAAGCTGTAGATGCGAACCACCTGAAACGCGAGCGTGTGAGTGACTGCTTTCAATTTTGCTTTCGTATATCACCCCTGTGTATCTATACCATGTTCTGGGAGCCATGAGATCCTCCTCCTCGCGCTCTTTCTGGCATTTGCCATCGACATCTTCGGCGGCTTCTTTGAGCGTGTCTTCGATTCCTGGGTCTATAGCAGACATGGTGGCTGCGGTCCAAATGCCACCGATCAAGTGCTATCGACCTGATTCACCTCGCGATTATGCATCGGCATTCGGATTTCGTGGTAGCGGCGAGACGTGGACGCGTCAGTAGCATGACTAAAGCTGGAAATGTGTGAGTAGCAACGCGTGCCGTCGCCTCCATGATCGCTCTGAAGCCGTCAAAGGATATACTGGATGTATATCTGCTAAACGGGCGGGCTCGGCGGATCATCCGGCAGGTTGCGATCGTCCATCGAGAACGCATTCCTTGGCTTGGCTATGAAATCAAGCTTTCAAGTGCTCTGTCACAAGATCGTGGTTGTGCTTTCTACGAGGGTGCCACATGACGCAGTTTACCATTGTCGCTTGCCGAGATCAACTACAGTACATGTATTTACCCAGTGATTCCCACGCACATTTCTTCCTTCCTCACCCGCCGATATATGCTCTGAATGATTTACAGCATTCAAATCTCCAATATCGAGCATCTTTTTCTCTAGCTTCCTCGTTAAACCAACTACTCTATTAGCGTATTCGGTCTTATTATAGATATTAAATAGTTCGAGAGGGTTCGTCCTATATATCGAGGAGTTCCTATTACTTCTAGTTGTCGCTACCGACCTAAGCTTATCGTAACGAGTTTTATATAAACAAGGGACATTTACTATTTCGCTTAAGCTCTAGAGGTTAAGATAAGAGCTATAAAATGTGCTTATAGGCGGCTGCGCGTGCCTACTAAGTGCGAGCGAAGCTTTCGCACTCCGCCGAGCTAATAGGATAGCGCCGTCGTTATTATATTAATTACTTTTACTAGCGAGAAGGCAAGCTATTAGTATCTATAGAGCAACTTAGGCTAAAAAGGCGTGTTAGTAAAGCTATTAGTATCTATAGAGCAACTTAGGCTAAACGGGCGTATTAGTAAGCGTCGTACTAACTACATAATCGCCGTAAGCGATTACGACTATAAGTAGCAAGCCGCTTATAATCGCGATCTATGCTTACGGCTCTATAGTAGGCGGCCTAAGTGAAAATTATAACAAAGAAGGAGTTAAGAGCAATCTATATTAAATGTTTAAACTAATTCTTCTATTTATTACTTCTAAAGTCTTATACTTTATCGCTGTCTAGGAAGTCTAGCGAACCTATTAGAGTAGCTAGATCGATTAGAGTGTACATAGTTAGATTAACGGCTATATACTAGCGTTAGAAGGTAGTAAGGGCTTCCTAACGCTTATACTTAAGCATAGCTTCTCGCTAGCGCTATTGCGCCTCGTAGACTATATATCGGTCGGCCTCGGCTCTAGTATACTTATCGCGAATAGCTTCCTAGAAAGCGGTTATAAAGGCCTTAGGTTCTAGCAGCTATCTGCTCTAAGCAGACCGAGCGTAAATATAGGCCTTATTATCGATTTAGTCGTAGATAACCTAAAGGTATCGACGTCGGAGACCCTAATAGTACCGATCGAGATCCTAGGTATAGGTAAGAATCTATTTATCTACAAGATAGAAGATAATATACTCTATAATAAGTAGGCTACAACTATATAGATTAGGCTGCTATGTAACCGCGTCGTTAGCAGTCTTAATATAGGTCTAGGTGCCTAGCTTTAGCTATCGAGCATTCTATATATACGGAAAGCAAGATAGTAGATTAGTAAGCGCAGTAATAAATCGGCTACTAAGGGGGCCGATTCTACGCTTGCTATTAGGGCCGCCGCCCTATATATTCTATATCTAGACAATGCTAGTCGTTAGATCGACCTAACTAGCGATAAAGTGTAAAGCGGAAAAGTATATAGTAGAGACAGGGCCGGTAGCTTTAAAGCTAAGCTAGCCTAGATCTAAAAGCAGGGCATCTATATTAGGCTAGTGCTACCGTCTAGTGTCTTAGGTATTATAAGCATCCTACTAGTGCTAAGAGATAGGCTAATTGTTAGATGCGGTTAGAAAGTCGAAGTCCTAGATTACCTTAATAGCTATACGGAATATATTAATAGCACACTCCGTGCTATATACAGCCTCGGCGTACTATACTAATTCTTAGTCGTCGTATATAGGTGTAATAAACTGCCGACTAAGGAGGACATTAGTATCGAGGCGTACGAGTCTATCGATGTATTCTACTCTATACTAAGCAAGGTAATAGTCCTTATTACCCTCCTAAGGATACAGAGCTATATATAGATAGGACCTAAATAAGAGAGGGAGTATTCCTCGCTTCTTAAACAGAAAATATACGTTAGGGTTAACGCTTAAATAATAGGTGCCGTAGATAGCCTCTTTACTAAACTCTATAGCAAGATTAGCGAGTAGACTTATCGGATAATCGGTAGGGTATTTCTATATTGCTTCGAGACACTCCTAGCGATTAATAGTAGCATCGCGCTCTAAGGGATAAAGCGCCTCTTATCTAAACACGTACTAGAAGACAGACTCTACTTCTTTATCGGTATAGAAGGCTCTAGACTAGTAGAGTTAATAGTAGAAAGAACGAGTAAGGGCAAGGACTTCGCTTAAGCGATCGTTAAGGTTAGTATAGGGAAGTACGAGTTCAACCTTTACCCGGCGGTTAGCGATAACTACTAGCTAAGCATCGTTAAGGTCTCTTAGTCGAAGTTAGGCTCTAGGCAAAGGTTAAATACTAGGGACTTCCGTCGAAGGCGATCCTCGTATACTATATAAATCCTAACCGTTAGTAGCCCGAACAGACAGCAGCGGGTCGGCAGCCTAAAGTTGTCGCTATATCTCTCTCTTATTATCTTATAACTAGCGTACGAAGAGATAGTTATTAACAACTGTCTATCGTTTACGCTCGATATAAGAACGATACTAACGTCGGGGCGGCTCTAGGCTAATAGTAGAAGGAATAAAGACTTAACTAGAAGCGAGAGCGTAGCTAGCGACCTCTCGTTCTATATCGTCTAGCGGAGGTTATACCGTATCGATATCTATTCGTTTAGAATTAGGTAGGGATATATCTAGCGAAGGCTATTATACTTCCGAAGAAGGAGACTCGCTGCTAGGTTAAGAAAAACCGAGTAGATTGAGTATTACGTTAGAGAAGCCGCTAAAGTCGAACGTACGGGAGCTCTAAATAGGCGTTGCGGGTAGTAAAGGTAGTACCTAATTACGTCGGCGCTCCTCGTCTATTACTCGCATCCTCGGTATAGCTCCCTTAGTAAGTTTACCGGTAAGCCGATCGTAGTTAAAGGCTTCTTTAATTATAAGCCTACGATAGTCTCGGATACGAGAGAATGCGACGTAGGTTAATCTAGAAGAGAATTCTAGGCCAACCTTAATAATAGCCTTGTCTAGTATTATGCCTTATACCTTATATACTATTAGGGCGTATAATACGGTAAGCGGAAATTGCGTACGCTAGTCGTTCTCGCTACTATTAACAGCCCGCTAGATCCGGAAGATTAGGACAACCTTACGGTTATTTACTCGAAACAGCTCGGGGGCGCCGTCCTTTAGGCTATCGAATGCAACTAGAAGGCACAAAGGCGGCTCCTTACGCAGGTTCTTACCTACTGTATCCTATACCTAGACGATGTCGTAGAGAATGCCTTGCCGCCTATTAACAAGCCTAAACTTAGTCTAAAGGTTGGTTAAAAGTATAACTTTATAGCTAATACTAACTTAAAGTTTAACCTCGAGATTGTAGACGTTCTTAGAGCTTACAGTTAATATATCCGGACGGTTATGCGAGGCTAGTATTAGAAGTACGGGGTTGCCGATATCGCGTAGGCGCTAATAGTTTAACTCGGTAATATTAGCATTCGTAAAGTATAGGCGGATAGCATTATCGAATAAGCTAATCTCTACTATATCGAGATTAGATATAGAACGCCGCATTAAGGTCTACTAGTGATCCTTGCCGAATTGTCCGATACGGAGGGCTGCAAGTACGTAGCGAAAAGCTACCTAGTCGGGATTAGCTCCTTCCTAGCGTATATTAGCCTTTAGTATTAAGGTCTTATTAAAGGTATAGTATATCGCCTATCTAGAAACGTTTTCTAAGCCCTTAGGACGGCCTTAAAACAACGGCTATACGAACACTAGAGCAAGTTAATAGAAGTTACCGAATATAATAATGCTTATACTACTAAAGTGGAGGTCTTAGTTAATAGGGAAGATCTAACGGAGGCGCTAGTCTAGGAAGTGTAGGAGCCTAAGACTAATTATCGACTTCTTGTCGATAATAATATACTAAACACTACGAAGCTAGTTCTGTATATACGTAAGGCGAGCACCTTGTACTTAGTTAATAGAACCTCGTAGAGGAAGCTTAAAAGCCGAATATAGCGTTAACCTATCGATATTAGTAGCCGTAGTGCCTATAGGGGCTACTCGCACGATCGGATTGCTAGGATAATTAGTAGCTTTCGCATTACTCTGCAATCGTACGTATATTATCTAAATTATAAATGATTTACCGGTTCCTCTAGCACTATCGACGTTAAGAAGCAACTATAGTAGCGTCGTATTAATAGTACTATCCTACTAGCGTAGGAGATACTTAAAGTAGTCGACGATTAAATTAAATCCTTATCGCTAGTATCGGTTTAGTCGCTCGAATTAGGTAGTAGATTGCGACTATACCTCTATCTCTATAGTCCTATAGTCTCGCTTCTTAGCCTGCTACTAATCTTCGGAGGTATCGTAGAGATTAGGGTAAGTATTAAGGTACTTACCGATACGAGGTTCCTAATATGTAGCTCTGTTAATATCGCGATCCCCGAGGTTGTTTAGATCCTTATCCTATATACCTAGGTTTAGCGAAGGTCCGCAAAGTGTATCAAAATTAGCGGGCTCTCTAAGATTCTACAGTTCTAGATCGATAAATAGATCGTCTTTATACCGGTTAATATCCTATAGGTAATTATTAGGATGTAATAAATAGCTAGAATTATTAATATAGTACTCGAGACAATACTAGAAGGCGGCACCCTAGCTAGTAAATTCGATTTTAGGCTTATCGGGGAAGTAGTATAGCGTAGCCTCTAAGCATTGCGGCAGATTACGGAAGGGGTAATAGATCTAGATCTTCAAACGCTAATAGTTAACAAAGCTAGGCTTCGTTAGATTAGACGAGTACCGCGGAAAGTAGTTAATAAGTCGACGATCGCGAACGATATTCCGAAGCTTGCGAGGCTAGCCCCGATACTACAAGTTCTACTCGCTTAAGTAATTAAACATCGTTTCATACTCGGTAGCATTAGGGCGCTGCATATACTTCTAAATAGAAGTGCGAGGAGCGGCTCTCGGGTTCGGCGCACTATCGCTATCGTTATCTCTAGTATTATCTCCTATAAGCTCCTACTCCTACTATTGTTACTTATCGCTAATGTAGACGGCTGCGGTTTGCTCTATCTATAGACGGCAGTCTAAGTTAATTACAGTACGACTTCCTTTCTATAGGGGAAGATATAGATTAAGGTAGGCCACTTATTAAGCTAGCTAGTCGCGTTCCGTAATTAGGATATTTAGAAGCTTAGCTACTATTAATAGAAGCGGCTTATTATAATTAATAAGAGGAAGGAGACCTTTTATAATGTCGTCGTAAGAGCGGCTCTTAACCTTAGTCTTACTACAATACTTAAGAATATACTATATAATAGCATAAGTAGTTATATAAGGGGTAATGTTATAGTTTGCCCGCTAAGCTATAGACATTAAGCGGTTGAAATGATTAAGAAACGAATTATTGCAAGCAGCCGTAAACCCGAGATAGCGGTTATTATACTCGTAGTTAACGTCGGCCTCGTTGCGATACCTCCTCGGGAAATAGAATCGATAATATAGTTCGCTATCTAGGTCGTCTTTCCGCTTTGCCTAGTAGTAATCGTTATAGACATAACGCTATATACGGTTAATTATATCCGCAAGATCTTCTTACGTATTTATTAACTCGCTAGTACTAGCCTAAATAGTAGCTCCTTGTCTAAGATCGCGACCTAGCTTAGGGTTTATAGCGGTAATATAGACACCCTATTATCGTACGAATGCCTAACGACCTTCCGGAGTAGATACATCCTAGTAGGGAACGTCGCACTAAAGGAAAAAGTAGATATAGCAACTTCTACGACTCTGCTACTTAAAACGATACTAATAGTCTGTAACGTTAAACTTCGGCTTTATTACTTTCTTAAGTAAGTACTAAAACCGCCTAACGATGTATGCATTAGCGATATATAGGTGATTTCGGAGGTTCTTACGCGCTATCTTAACCCGCTCGAGTAGTCTAAGTTGCTTCTATCGCTCGTAGCTAGGCATTAATCGTGCTAAGGAATCCTACTAGAGATCGGTAGCACTAACTATACAGAACAGTACCGGCTTGCCGAGGGCACGTATATACGTCTCTAAGTTAATACGACGTCTATTCTAGTAGGGGCAGGTGCCGCGAATCTGTCTACCGACCTTAACGATTGAGTTGATAAGCTTTTAAGTATCCTTGTCCTTCGGATCCGTAGCGAGTATAGCTTCTAGTGTCTCTACTAAAACCTCTATACTATCCTTCTAAAAACGATTAGCAAAGAAAGCGGCAGTATTAAGTACATAATGCCTTATACTCTTATTAAAAACAAAGTATAGCTAGCGCTCGTAAGATACGAACCTATTATCGTAATACCGTATATAGTAATCGATAGTATCGTTATATAATACACTCCTAGGCCGCGGCTAGTTTAGATCTCCCTTACCCTAAGGAAGCAACGTTAGAAAAGCTATTGCTATTAGTAGATATAAACGATTAAGCTTATTAATTGGAATCTTAGAATAATTAGGCTAAGTAATGTGTAATAGCTGCACTAGCTGCTTAGGAACAGGACTGCTAGCTTTATATATATACCGATTTCGTAGGCGGTCTCGCAATTGCTCTATAGCGCAGTATTAAGGGTAAAGGTTAGGCATAGCGGCGTACTTATAACTAAGGTCCTCGTCGGCATCTAGAATACCGGCTCCTTAAGTAGGACCTAGATCTATACGGCGAGGAGCTACGGGTTCCGTTATAGAGATAGCGGAAGGCGGACGACGCTAATCGTATATATAATCGATACAGTTGTCGCGGTTACAGATACTAGTAGTATCGAACTGCTAGATTAGAACAAGTTCTAGTCTATTAACTCCTCCGATATAGGAGAATTAATCGCGTATAGTAGCATAATTACTAACGATATAGTATCGTTACTCTCGACTCTAATTCGCGTTAAGAGTGCCTATCTCGCAGTAGTAGCACTCGTTATTACGGCGCGCTTTAATAGGACGTAGATAATAACATCCTTCGCATATAAAGAACTTAGAGGCAGCCGGGGCTTATAGGTAATCGTTAGCCGGTAGTATAGTCTCGATGTATTCTACGGATTCTAGCTAATCTTTAATAGTGTTATTATTAGGTAACTGCGATAACGCTACTTTATCGATCGAGATCTCGCGATAGTATCTATTGTTAGCTTTAAGCTAATCTAGTGCATTAAGAACCTTAGAACGGCGAATACGGAAGTCTTATTGAAATTGCCGGCGCTTACGCTACTAATCCGTATCTAGGTTACCGACAGTAGGCTTATCTGCCTATATAGAATAGACTAACTGTTTCGGACGAAGAACAACTAGATCGAGCTCCCTAGGGATTCGAGGGAGCTTATAGTAGACAGTAATAACGTCTTTTAGGAAGTTGTAGATATAACCTCGATACTGCTACTACTGCCCCCGTATATAGAATACGGATATCTAGATATATATACGAGAAATGAGCAATTCTTTAGTAGTAGTAAGACCGCTTAGCTCATTCGGTATAGCGCTAGGATCTATGTTATTGCCGTCGGTGAATAGGAAGGGGTCGCCTCCTACGATACTATTATCTCGGTTAACGTAACGACTACAAATGCTATTATTCCGTGCGAGATATATACTAAACTAGCGCTCCGAGTATCGAGAATACGTCTCAAGCACGTCCTTATTAAGAGACCGACAGAATTCGTATATAAGGCGTTTATCTTCTTCGGTAATTGCGTTAGTAACTGCTTACTAGTCTACCGGAACAAGAGCGGGCTCTTTATAGTTCTTAAAGCGTATACGCCGATCTGCGCGTAGTCTCTCCTTACGAGACTGTTTATTACGCTGTCGAGGCAACGATAGGGATAGTTAGACTTGAGATAAAGCTAGCCTAGGGCCCTACGAGGAAGTCTGCCGCTATATACTATTAAGGAGGCTAAAATCGGATAGAGTAGAAGAAGGCTAAAAGCTCCGATTAGCACCTACTACTCCTATACTAGAGGTAGGAGTCTATTAAGGGAAGTATTAGCGATATGTAGTACGTAACTTAGGTAACGGCGGTCGCTAGAAGCTGAAACGATTGCTATTATAGTTTCTATTAATACACTACTTATTCTTATTAACCGGATCTTCGTTAAGGAGGTAAGAATAGCACTAGAAGCATTAGTCTTCTTAACTTCTACTTTAATCTTCTTACGGGCGCGGAATGCCGCATTCGATATATATAAACTAAGCTCGGCTACTAATGTCCGGAGTAGACTAAGGGTTTTGCTATAAAGGCGGTCGTATAGATTGTACCTACTCCTAGCGAGCTAATCGCGCCTTAGTACGAGATTAGCGAGTAGCCGATATAATTGCATGCTAAGTAGCAGCCGTTTCTAGGCTTAGCTAACTTAACGGATAATAGGGACGAGGCGGTAGTACTATAGAGCTAAGGGCAACTACAACTACTACCGAGATAGGTCGACTGCCGATAGTTACGGCCGGAGCAAGCGCGATTAGAGTATTAGCGGTAGCAGGTACGAGAGACCGCGTAGGCCTAGAGGGCCTACTCTCGTCTATAGCAGCGCGCCGCTTAGTACTCTTCTTAATCTCCTAATTGCCTAAGAGGTCGAGGCCGATAACTATATCGCGGTACGTAGTATAGCGTTAAACTAGAGGCCTACCTCTGTTTCTAAAATTAAGGAATTAGATAATATCTTTTACCTTCGAGCAGCGGTCGCATTTAATAGTAGCCGGCTATACCTAAGTTATCGGAAAAGGAGGAGATAGCTAGCTACGGACAGAGGATAGAGCAGCCTATTACCTAGAAGGCGGTAGAGCAGAAGGCGGTAGAGTAGAAGGCGGTAGAGTAGAAGGCGGTAGAGTAGAAGGCGGTAGAGTAGAAGGCGGTAGAGTAGAAGGCGGTAGTAGAGTAGAAGATAGCGGACCTTACTAATTAGGAGGCGGCGGTGTCTCTCTAAAGCTACTAAGTCGCATTGCTTATAGTCGAGCGCTACCTATATATCGCGGTAGATTAGGTACAGCGATACGGGCAATAGGCAAACTACTCGCGTCTCTCTACGGGCTAGCGTCGGCAGTTACGGTATAGTATACGCAGTCGTTAGTATAGGTATAGATATACTCGAGGTTGTAATCTATCGCGTACTCCTCTTCCTCTTTCTTATAAAGGTCGATAGCGGTATAGGTTTTCGGCATATTTAACCGCGTAACTTGCTATAGTCGACGCGATAGGATCTAGTATAAGACGAGAGGATCCGATATAGTCTAAGGGGCTGTAGTTTAGTTTGGTTAAGAGGACAGTAAGATCGAGGTCTAGCGGTGTATATAGCGGACTTACGATAGGAAAGGAAGTCGGAGTAGCGAAAGGAAAGGAAGGAGTTATCCGTTAGTTTCTAGAAGCAGGAGCTAGGCTAATTTAGGCTTAGAAGGTTATAGAAGTTAAGGCGCGGCTTCTTGCATATAAATGTACAGACTCTAGTAAACTAATGTACGTGTTCTCTTCCTACATACCTCCTAAACGTGTCTTTACAAGCGGCGCCGCTTAAACGCTAGTAACCGTATCACTTTTGCTCCTTTCCGCTTAAGTAGGTTAATATTCTTATTAATTAGGAATGAGTCTACCGCCTCTTATTAATTGAGAGCAAGTAATTCTCCTATCCCTCTCCTTTTGCCGACGTTAGCGTTCCGGATAGGTTAGGCACTCGCTAAGGCTCGACTAAACCTACCCTCTACTATAGTCTCCCTATCTTGCTAGCGTTAGCGTTCCGGACAGGTTAGGTACTCGCTAAGGCTCGACTAAACCTACCCTCTACTATAGTATCCCTATCTTGCTCGCGTTAGCGTTCCGGACAGGTTAGGCACTCGCTAAGGCTCGACTAAACCTGCCCTCTACTATAGTATCCCTGTCTTGCTAGCGTTAGCGTTCCGGACAGGTTAGGCGCTCGCTAGGGCTCGACTAAACCTGCCCTCTACTATAATATCCTTGTCTTTATCCGACGTGCGGCGGGTACGTAGGTCTTGCTTAGCAGTACCGAGCCTAATAATCTTATAGGTTAGAGAGAGGAAGAGGCGGGGGAGGCGTCTAAAAGCTGCGATACTGTTCTCCTACTAGTAGCTTATATTAAGCGTAAGTCCTTTTATAGATTAGGGTTGCCTAAGGCATCCGTCGTTATCGTATTAATTACTTTTGCTAGCGTGATTTTGCTAGAAATGCGCTTAATCGACTTAACTCGGTCGTCGTCGGAGGGGGGAATTTAGGTGCTAGTTTAGTTGCTAGTTTAGTATATACTGTCGACACTAACTTTTATAGCTTCTAGATACAGAATTAAACACTTAACTAGTATACTATTCAAACCTTACCTCTCTACCTTCCCCTTCCAACTAAGCTATTACTGTCTAAGCTATGCTAGGCAGCAGCAATAAAGGTATATAATAACACTGCAATTCACGACCTTTAACTAATAATAATCGACTAAGACGAAGCGTCGCCTAGCTACAACTAGGTAAGAAGTTGCAGTAATCCTTTACGCCTAGTTATTAAGTTACGTAGGGAACCTAAGGGATTTAGGCCATTTAATAGTCTTTTCTAAGGCAGCTAGCAGCCTAATAAACTAGTAGAGGTAACTGCCTATTGTCTAACCCTAAAGAAATTAGTTCTCCGGGATAGGTTTTCTATAGCGGCGTTTCTTCGGAAGCGTATAAGGTCGAAGTCTAGTAGTTATATTTACTTAGTCGATTTGTAACGTGTCTTAAAGGGTTAAAAGCTCGAGGTCTATATCGTGTCCGTAAGAGTAACTCCGGGTATTGCTTGTCTATAGTTTTTTGCCTTTTAGTATTCTTCTTTTTTTTAGCTATAGGTGCGGTATACGGTATACGGTATGCGGTATGCGATATACGGTATGCTTGTTCCTTCTATCTCTTTTACTAGTATAATACTATTTCTTTACTAGTATAATACTGCCTTTTTACTAGTGCTAGTGCTAATGCTAGCTAAATAGACTATCTTTTTACTAGTGTAACACTGTATAGTCCTTTACGTTAGTTTGCTACTAGGGCGTTGCTAGTAGCTATAGGCGTAGGTCGGGTCGGTCAAATAGTCGCATCGGTCGTATAGTCGTATTAGTCGTATAGTCGTATCGGTCGCATCGGTCTTACGCGCGCGCTGCTATTCTATTATTGTTGTTCGTAGTATACGGTAATGTAATATAGGATTGCAGCCTAAGGCGCACGCGTATACGGTTCTCTTATAGGATTTAGCTAATAAGAGCTCTAGCTTTCGAAATCCGGGGAGTTACGTAAGTAGCTAGACAGTGCATTAAGCTACTAATATCTAAGACCGCTATAGTAGTGCGAGCTTCGCTCGCAATTATATTATAGACTAAGAGGAAGTAATAACTTTCGCTCTAACTATCGCGGCAGTTTCGATTATAGCTCGTAGCGTTACCGGCGTAGGTCCTAAGGAGGAGATTAGTAGTTAAAGGCTAGGTATATATATTACTTATCGTTCGTCGGAGTAGAGGCTTTATTAATATTAGTTATTATAAGGAAGAGATCTCTTTACTAGTTTAGCTATAAACTATAGCATACTTATATTAAAACTATCCGATGTCTAAACCTACCGATATCGCACCTATATATCCGATAAAGCAAAGGAAGAGAGAAAGCGACGCTAAGCCACGATAATAACGATAACTATAGTGACAATCCAAGGTCAGCCTCGTTTATGCTTATATTTGAATTTGTATTCCGGCCCAGTGGCACGCATAGATTACCAAAAGTGGTAACGTAAGAGTAGGACTGATCCTTCCACACATTTGGCCGACCATTGAAGCCTCCCGAGTGGTCCATCACGATACCTTCTTCCCTCTAAATCTCAACCCACCCTTGCCCTTCATCGACCATGCTGAGATTTGCGATCGATCATTTCACGCAAGCAAGGTTTCGATCCGAAAGTCAGTGGTAGAATGAATTCGTGATGTCGATACAAAGGCTTGGTCGGATGGCTAGTTCAATCATGAGATTGCTGTTGATGATTATTCCTGCAGGACGTCAGCTAAGCTTGCACGGGTAACAGATGACTGTCGAATATGCATTCAGCAGTCGCTTGTTCCTCATGTCAAGAGCTCCTCATAGTAACACCCACTCACCTCTCTAAAATCCTTTCTGCCCCAGCACAATACCCTCACAAGCCCCTCCCTTTCCAAACAGCTTCCTAAGATCACTCGCCAGTAATTGCGGCACCTCAAACGCAGCGAAATGTCCTCCCACATCGTATGTAGTCTGCTGCACAATCGGTCCTTGACTGTGCGCCCAGCAATACGGCAACCTGGCAATCTCATTTGGGAAGTATGCCAGAGCGAGCGGCACATTCGGCACATGCATGTTGATCACATCCGTACGACTCATCGCGCCTTCGCCAACGGGATGATTTGATTCCCAATAGATTCTGGTACTCGTCATCGGACCTTCTCTCGAGAATGCGTAGATCGATATCCATTCGCACACTTCCTCTTCCGTCCAGGGGTAGTTGTCGGTCCAGACATGAAGCTTTTCATAGATCCAAGCCAGAAGTCCAACAGGTGAGTCTGTCAAGCCGTAGCCTAGCGTTTGGCATTTCGTATCTTGTTCTTTCAAATATCCATCGCCTTCAGCAAAGTATTTCTGTGAATGAGCAAGACCAGCTCTGACTTCACTGCTCAATGCGATTCCAGCGATCGCTTGCACGAAAGATATAGGATTCTTCCAAAGTTTGGGGAAAGGATGGACAGGAAAGTTCGTGTGCACGGCTTTGCAGCTTTCCGGGTAGTATTTCGACACCAGTCGGGTCAGAAAGCCGCCCCAATCACCGCCTTGAGTGACATACCCGGTCTTGTCGTATCCGCATGCCTTCATGACGCCATGCATGACTTCGGCGTGCTGTTTGAGACCAAAGCCGGGTTTTGAGAAAGGGTACTGCGACCACGCATATCCGGGAAGAGAAGGTGCGACGACATGAAAAGCAGGAATGTTCGGGTCCTTGGGATCTGTGAGTAAAGGTAACATCTTGAGCACCTCGTAATAAGATCCAGGCCATCCGTGTATGAAAAGGAGTGGAATGGCATTAGGACGCTCGGAACGCTGGTGGATAAAATGTATATCCAACTCCTCCCAGCCTGGAACCTTGATCGGAACAGTGTATTGAGGATAGCTATTCAATTTCTTCTCTGCGTTCCTCCAGGAGAAGTTCTTATGCCAGTATGCCGAGATGCGCTTGATGTCTGCTAATGGAGATCCCATAGACCATTCTGCGCCCTGGACTTCCGTGGGAAATGTGGCATTGGCGAGCTTGGTGTTGAGTTCAGAGATCTTTGCGTCCGGCACGGAGATCTGGAATGGTTTTGGGGTGCCTGTAGTGACTGAAGCCATGTTTTAGTGTCTTGGTCTGGCTACAGAAAGAGCATGTTGGAGGTCAAGTTCATAGAGGTGAGAGAACCGAGGTCTATACAGTTGCGCTCACTTGCCAAGGCTTTGGACCTCTCGCCGGACAGGGGTGTATACAGCAAACCCGACCCCCCGAAAATTCGCCACCTCGTCCGATGCAAACACCATGTCAAGGGCAGAAGGTGCGAAACGAAGACGAAGTGAAGAGAGAAGTCTATTATAATGTAAAAATCGATCACGAAGCTGAGCCAGCAAGAAAACGCCCATATACGAATCTTGCAATCAACGAGAATGGTGTATCATTATTGTCGTGCCAAGGTTGTCTTCCACGTTCCAGTCGCGCAGCAGAGCCAAAAATCGTTGCAGCTGTATCTCATCATCCACAGCGGGACTTCGAGGATAAGACCACTGCCTTCTGTAGACGCCTGTTCTCAGCTTCAACACCGCGAGCGCTCAGCTGATAGATGATTCTAAAGCTTTGCTCGAACGATCTGCCTCCGTTCTTGCTCCAATACCACCAGGTGAACGGTAAGTCTTGCGCGTTCTTGGCTTTCAATAGAATGAAGTACCGCTTCTCGACTTGTCGCAGCCCAGACTTGATGGCGCTTTGCCGGAGACCATATTCATACCCGAACAGACACTTCATGATGACCTCACGATCAATTGCAATTTTCCGTGCTAGGCTTCGCATGCCCTCCTTAGAGACGACTTGAGGAATGCAACCACTATACCGAGGGCAGAATGATCTTCGGTAGTGATAGAAGCGCATGATGGTAGCCGCGATTGCATCCTGAGGGAGACCAAGGAAACGGCACGGTTCGTAGATGTTTCGCCAGAGATAGCCCTCTCTACCGCCGTCGTGCGAGGCCCCTGTAACTCTCGCGGGTTGTCCAGGAATGCTCGTCGCTTTGATGAGATAGCTGGCGCGTTCCATTGTTTCTGCGATCCTCAAAAAGTGATCTCGAGTTGAGTCACGTAGCGTGTAACATCCGCTTTGGCACCATAGTCCGACATAGTCTCTGAATATGACGAAAAGGAGAAATTCTCTCAACTTCTCGGTTTCAGGTCCTTGCTTCAGCTCCGTAATAGCCCGTGTCGCCTGAGCCGGCTCCGGTGCATCTCTCACTTTAGTAATTTGATTGTCGGTTTCTTCGAAGTCGTCGAGATCGCTAACCCAGGAACTTGCATTGGAACATGGCGGGAGATGATCGAACGGATCTTGCGTGGAAGCCATCTTGATTGTCTCCGTTGTAGCTTGCGTCGCCTGAGCCGGCTCCGTTGCATCTCTCACTTCAGTGATTTGATTATGATTTTCTTCGAAGTCGTCGAGATCGCTGACCCGGGAACTTGTGTCGGAATATGGTGGGGGATCATCGAACGGATTTTGCGTGGAAGCCATCTTGATGTATAGGCAGCGAGCGGCAGGGCAAAGATGATTGCTTCAAGCAGCACAGTTGGACTGGGGAAGTAAAAAAAATGTTCGCGGTTGTAATTTTTGTATTCGCATGATTCCTCATCTCGCAGTCGTAGGCTCGGTAGCTTCGATCCTTTCTGGTGGTAGCGAACCAAAAGCTTCCTGAATCGAGAGTTGGTTCTGCTTACCAGCTAGCTTTCCGTGCAGCCTTGCGACGTGACATCTCTGCACTTCATATAAAGATGATGCGTAGCAAATGGCTCACGTAGGGCGAGTCGTGTCCTGATCAGTGCCGTGCTCATCGCTCAATATCGGCCTTGGCAGCACGTTCGAAGGGTTGGCCTCCATGGACGGCGGTCTGTAGCTGCTTCTCCACAGAAATGTCCTCAGTTTTCCAATCCAATTGTCCGGTCGGAGGAGCAATCGATTTTCGCATGCTCCTGCTGTGCCTCTTCTTCTTCCTACCTTTTTTTTCAATCATAAACCCGTATCTCCTCTCGCCAATAAGGCTTGGCGTAAGAGCTCGACCTGCTGCAATCCCAGGAGTTCGTAACAGTCAGCTTTCCTGGCGTTTTACACGTCGTGGTTCGCTGATGTATGAGGTTCGTTCCCGAGAACCGCAATCCATTATTGTGCACTGCAGAAAGAATAGTGTATGGGGAGACAGACGCATGTGGATGTATTGATCCTGGTTGTGTATGGCTTAGCAGAACGCCATATTCACTCTTGTCCAGGTGTCGGCGAATGTTGGAGAGAACGCCGGCGCTGGAGTTCGTAGCGGGACTCGTGGATGATGTCTCGCTTGCACCGGAAACCCCGCCGCCAGGAACGAAGAATTGCACCTTCTCTATAGCAAGCTGGTATTCGCACTCTACACCCTTTTTGGCGCACTTTACGCAGCACCCAGGAGTTTCGTCGCATTTGATTCGACGTGACTTGCATTGCAGTGACTTCGTTCCGACGACATGATGAAACCCGCCGATTTCTTTCCATGCAGCAGTATCTCGCGACGGACAACCTCGATTGCAATGTGTTCAAAAGTGGCATATCCGTATTAGTTCCAGGTTATTAAAGGTCCGATGCGGTGCTGAGCCTCGAATAATGAGATCATGTTTGGCCGACCACGTTCGCCGATTTTGTCTTGAAGCTGAGAGGATCCAAATTCAATGTGTTGCCCACAAATCCCGTTTCTCCCAATGTAATGAAGGCTCTGTGTACCCCCAGGCGAATTATTTTTGTTTTTGGCAAGTCAGAAATCGATGAAGGCAGCAGAAAGGTGACCTTGGATATATGGCTGTGTCAACCTCTCGCATTAGGGCTTTAGAAAGTGAGGTATGACCACATGACGTTTTCCCATACCATAATGCACGGCATTTTGATGTGCGCAATGCCACCCGGCACAGGGTGAGCTCTACCTGGTCCAGACTGGACAGAAATAGCCACGCTCAAGAGGTTGTTCAATTCTGGAGGGATTGCATGGCACCTTCTTCACACATCTCTTGCAGCTCCCATCTTATCTTTCGTCTCTTTCGCCGCCTTCTCGGCCCTCATTTGATCTCTGAGAGCCTTGCGAATCTCCCTCAAGTCAGGTGGCATCTCAATGCCCAGTCTTGTTCTCAGCTCATCAACATCAGTCTGCAGCTCTTCTTCCCAATACACATTCACAACCTCTTCCGCCTTCAAGCCATTCCTCAATGCCCAAGGTAAATACGTCTCAAAGAACCTCTTCCGCTCCACAGGCTTCAGCCTCACAATAGCAAAGAGTGAAAGGCCCGTCATCGGGAGCAGAGTATTCGTGAACTCGAATGCCTTGACAGCGAGCTCACCTTCAATAATAACCGGCAGTCCAGTGATAGCGTGCGTGAAATCATGAGTCTCGCGATATCTTTGCATGACATATGCTTCCTCTGGATCATCGATGTAGCGAACTTGATCGCGTGTATCTGGTGTCACGCCCTCTTTGTCCAACCAATTCACATATGCCCTTCCTACAGTGTTTTCTGGCAGCTTTCTAAGCATTTCCATGCTTAGTGTTTGGCTTGTGATGCGTGGCTTGTCGCGTAGGATGCGCCTGCCGGTAGGGTTCGAGAGCATTGCATGCCGGAGTCGGGAAATGAAGTAGGGCTTTGCAGTTGCTTCGCCTAGTGAGGCGATGAGGTCGTGGCGGTATGGGTTGCGTAGAGAGCCAAAGGCGGAGCCTATAGCCAGAGCACCGCGTTCGAGCCATGTGAGAGGGACATGGCCTGGGTAGTTCGGTGTTGGGCGGTTCAGCACTGAGAAGGATCGGGCACGAAGAGATGGTGGAAGAGCTAGTATGCGCTTGAAGAGTGCCGAAGAAGACATTTTCGACATGAGTACCTGTAGTTGATACAAGTGATGAGCATAAATAGAAGTCGAGATGTTTCTCACGCGCGAAGCTCGGAGTCAAGCTTGCCGATCGTACTGTATGATGCAGTGCTTGGCATTTTCCATAGACAACATACATACGAAGAAAGATCTATAATGCTCGCTCTCGAACGCTGTCATTTGTAACATCAAGATAGATGCAGTCATTCTCACGCACTCCTTGCCTTCATCTTTACAGCAACTCTCTTGCCAACAAGCACGCTCTCCATGCCGCCGTGCAAATCCTTGGCAATGAAGTCCGCCACATCTTCGAGCGACGTAAAATAGTTCTGCATTTGTGCGAGGATGTTCAGATAAGTGCCAACAAGAGGCACCCACTGTAAAGTCTTCGACCAAGCTGGCGGGAAATCCGTTCCCGCCACAAGATTTTCCGCCCCAGTTCCAGCTCGCGCAGAATAGTCAATCACTTCTGAACGAGGATCCATCCGGTTCGCGCAGAAGAGAGACCATGCAAGCTTTGATGCTTCCAAGTTTTTGATGACGTCCTAATTCCTTCTGTGGATTGTGAAGACTGGCACGTAGTCAATTATCATATGCTTCTTCGTGCTAGGAGCATCCATGATACCGAATCCGCTCATGAACCAACATCGAAGCGGTCTACCTCGTTGATCGCCTGCTTCGATGGTAGCTTGCATGACAGCCGCGAAAATTGTAGGCAGGTCTCCTGATTGGCCGAGCATTGGTGCCAGACCTGCTGCATTGACGACTGCATCACAGTCGTTTGAGAGAATGGCGGTCTTGATGGCATCGCGGTCGGTCGCCGAGCCTTGGACAATTGTTGTTGTGTGTGCTTTGGCTTCTCTTGACAGTTTTTCCGGGCTTCGGACAAAGAGGACTGCTTCGTGGCCATGAGCTTTCAGAGCCGGGAGGAGTCTAGATCCAACGTTGCCAGTGGCACCAAGAAGAAGGACACGCATTTTGGTGGTCTGCTCTGTACCTGGATGGGTAGGTCTAGTGTTGGATGTATTCAGCTTGTCCTGGCACTGATATTGCTTGTAGCGATTCCGCTCTTGTCTGGATGCTTGAAGCTGTCGTTATGATCTTCTAGCCTTCCCTACCTCTGCTTTCTATACTCTGTCTCTACCTCACCGGCGCCGGACATAAGCATGATGTCTTCTGCCTTGACTCAGCACCGACGTCTTCGTGCGAGCCTTCAGACGCACTCTCGTGCCATTGATAGTTGCGTTTGAGCGCGACGAGGAGGCGGCAGAATGATACCGGTCCAACTCAGGCAGCGGCGTCACAGTCAGGTCTCCAAGAAGAAGAAGGAGAGCTCGTCAGTGGAGTCGGAGGGCGGAACGTCCTTCATACGAGCTATTCCCGTTTGAGCCGTGTGTGTGAAAGGTGGCTTGGAGTCGGCACAACTCTTCGCCGCTGCTCAGCTTTCCTCATCAAGCTTCCTCTCATAAACAGCCACAGAAAGCATGAAGAGGAGCGACAGCATTAAGGACTTTTCAAAGGACTATCTTCACGTTGATGATGTACAGTATTGTCGAAGATATGCGATTCAGCCTCATCAATCCGGTAGCTGGGAAATTGCCAAGCACGAGATCCTAGCCATTTTCGACCGCGATCCATCTGAACAGCACAATAGGCTAGTTCATCGAATCGTACAGAGATCATCCAAGATCAAAGGTCTCTAGGCACATCCATTGAAGAATCTCCCCCGCATGACCGGCCGAATACAGTACTATTCTCTAGGGCAAGGTGAATCTTAGGATCCCGAATTCATCGAGAATGGAGGAAATGAAGTGGCTGCCTAGGCTACTACTCTACGGAACGCAAGATACCAAACCCCCAAGGAACCCATGCGACTTGACGCTCATCGATGGCGAATTTTTTTTTTCAAGACTTGACACCTCGACTGAACCAGCGGAGTTCCAAATTCCAACGATACATGCCGATATATCTTCGAGTCTTGCAGTCTGTGAAAGAAAAAATGTTGGCAGCAGGCCATGCGAACGATAATTTTTTTTTTGGATATGTATACCTTAGTAAGTGTCTCTTGCGGAGCTAATCAGCTAATCTGTGGATCAAGGCATGATCCTCCGGGACCACGGCTAGTTTGACAAACATTCATGTTTTATCTACGAAGAATTCCCTTCAAATTCCCCTGCTCGCGCGCGATTCAGGCTGATAGAATCATATCGTCAATGATACTGTCTGTCCAGAATGACGATTTCGCTGTAACAATCCTGGACGTTGCAGGTATCCCTGCAAGGCAAATCGTTCCGAAAGGTGCTCCAAAGTCAGACGCCGGAGGATTGGGATCAGCTCGCAGGTCACTGATGTTCGATGCATCGCGATGCTATCATTATGGGGCCAGAGATGACCGGTATAAACTCATGAACTGGTATATCATCTTGCAAATCGCTTGAATTTTGATGCTGGCTGACCAGTATGTTAGGTCGAACTGCCTGCTATGTCCGGTGTTAGATACTGAAGCCGTGCTCAATCTAGTGTTCGTCGAATCTCGACATGTCGATACAGTACGTCCGTATTCCGTAGTATTTGTGCAGTCTCGGCTGCGAAAAGTTCGTCTCCGGTCCAGTCGCCTTCTACGAATCGAACCATTCCTCCCACCGCCGTCGACCAAAAAAAAAACACAATCCCCAAATCCCCTCAACCCTCACTGCGTCCTACACCTCGCAGCACCAACATCCACACACTCCACAACCCCACAATTCCTCACCCCCCTCCTCACCATCTTCTGAATTTCATAACTCGTCCTCCTCCTCGTCCTCCCCCTCTCCACAACCTTAATCTTCTCCGTCACCCTCTTGGCAAAAATCCCCGAAACAGGTTCAAATTCCACTTCCGGCCAAGCACCCGGCGTATTCATCGCGACGAAATGCATACAGAAAAGGTGCTCATGCTCTTCCAAGGAAGCCGGACTGGGAGTGAAGCTGAGGGAAGAGACGAATTTATCGTAGGTGGAGAAGGCGAAGCGTGTGGCTAACATGATTGCGGTGGGGCGAAGGAAAATAGCTGGTTGGTTTTTTGAGGTGGGTGCTCGAGCGCTGGATTTATTTAAGTGTGTGAGCCAAAAAGAGGGTCTGGGTCTTGCATTAGCTTTCACAGCTCAAGACTAGCGGTGGGGAGGAGAAGATTGGTATAGAAAGTCGGTGTGAGACGAGAGAGCATTCACTTATATATTTGACGACGATGAAGGTGTCCGTCCTCACGATAGTCATTTTTGACGGTATTCTGTGGGAGCTAATCTCGAGTCAGGTTCCCACAGCCATGACATACAGATTTACCACTTCCAAAAATCCGTGGTTGGATTTTGGATTTTGGATTTCGATGTGGTTGTGCAAGCAAGCTCGAGCGAGTCAGCCTTGGCATTGACATCCGCTCTCCGCACGGGCGCTTGAACGTTTTCGGGTCGACGTGCCTGCATTCGTACCTGAAGCTGGTTGACCTTCTGAATCAGGGTCACATTTTAAGCCTTCCAGATGACGTCCGAAGTGGCTTCGATGGTGGTGGATGAATGTCAGGCATGAATGCCATATCTGCGATCGTGAGATGCTGAAAGGCACGATCAGCTGTTTGCCGACTTGAGGCAGAGTCGAGAAGTGAAATTGTATCGATACTCCTATCTCTCGCAGCCATCGAGATGCATAGCTCCGCCAGGAAGATTCGGCATCGCTACGTGACCGCTGCCAGCACGCAAGCGAATGCTTCAGGAACTGTTCAAGTGAGCTTCGCCAACACTGTGAGGGTATGCAGTGAATCAAATATGCTATGATTAAGGCAGGCGCCTAATGATGCTTGCAAAAAGAAAACTTGACTTAATCCTCTTCTTCCTGGTAAGAGAGCTTTCTCATTTCGCCCAAACGATGCCGAGCAGCAGAGAGTGCGTTCTCCAGTTGAAGGATCTCGACCTAGTGCCATGACATTAGTACAACTTCGCGTAGGGCAGTCATGGGAAGTACTTACCTGTTGCTCCATTTGTCGCACCTTGAAATCGTGGCCGCTCAACTTCGTGTAGTCTTCAAAGTCCTCGCCCTTATTCTTACTCTCGATGATGGCCTGCACTTGGCGGACTAGGCTTCTGCAAGCACTCGTTACAGCTTTGCTGCATTCCTCTAGCCTCTCCTGAGTCTTGGACATGAAGCTGGCCTTGACACGGGACGCGGCCACCAGCTGTGCGGTAGAGGCAGCCACGTCATTTGCAGCAACAATGAGCTGTTCGGGAGAGTTTCTGCCGCTAATCACTCCATCTGCTGTCTCGATGAGCATATTCGTTGACGATGCGACGGCCTTGGCGGCAGAAATGAGGCCCTCCGTCCAGCGATTGTTCTTCTTGTAGTACTGACTTCGCGTCATGCTCGACCCTTTGCCTTGGTTCACGATCTCCTGCTGCGATGCTGTTGCCGCCTTGATGAGCTGAGCGATGGCATTCGTGACTGCGATGGCCGCATCAAGTATGGAGTCGTGAATCTTCAGTTCGTATGTGGAGTATCCATCGCGAGACTTGTTCATCAGCTTGGTGAGGCGCTCAGTGGCAGCCTCGATAGCCTTGGCAGCATTCATCATCTCTCGGTCGACAATCTCGCCAATGTCTCCGCCTTGACCCGTGATCTTCGACTTCGGTGCGAAAGCATCGGCGAGCTTGCTGAGGTTGTTGAGAGCAATCTGCACATCGTTGTTCTTGTTGATGACCACATCGGTCTTTTGCAGGTCCTCCAGACCGTCGAGACGATACGACATGATGCCGCGGAAGAAGTTGATGGTCTCGCTGGCTGAGCGACGCGCAGCTGAAATGAGCTGGTCGGCCTTCTTCTCATCGCTGGCGAAGCGCGTGAGACCCTTCGTGTTGGAAAGGACGTCCGCGATGGCATTGGAGAAGACATTGGCTGCCTTGATGACTTCAGAGTGTGCGCCGTTTGGTCCATCGGCAATGAAGTTGTTGTAGGCAGTGCTGAACTCCATCGCGCTGCTTTGTGCTTTTTCGATTTGTGACAGCACGAAAGGTCCGCTTGCGTTCTGGTTACCAGCAATCATTGAGCTGTCCAGCTCGTACAAAGCATCGTCAACGCGCTGTACTGCGGCTTGCAGGACAGAATCCAGCAGCTCATTGATCTTCTTGATGTTCTCAAGAAGCATGACATCGATCTGCTCATCCATGGCCTTGTCTGTGACGCCATTGCCCTGGCGGAGTTCGTTGAGCTCGAGCAGTGTCTGATCCATGCCGGACTTGTAGATCTCCAGCTCTTCTTCCTTCTCGCGCAATTGACGCTCGAGGTCTGAGCTGCCTTCGCCGAGCTTCATTTGCATCTCGTCCAGTGCACGCGTCTTGTTGCGCAACGCCTCTTCAAGATCTGCAATCTCACGGTTGTGTCGTGAGAGCATAGCCGACAGCTCGCTGCCCTTCGCGCGATCCGCGTTTTCTGCTCGGTCGAGAGCCATGCGCAGCTCACGCTTAAGCTTCTCCAACTCTTCGCGGTGTCCACCCTGTGATCGGTCCTTCTCGTGCAGCGCACGGTCTCGCTCGCGAATCATATCTGCGAGTTCCAAATTCTTCGTCTTGAGCTCTCGCTGTAGCTTCTCGCGCTGGTCGATCGCTTCTTGAGCGGATGCTGCCTTGAGCTGCACGCCCTTGAACTTCTGCAGCAGTTCGAGATGCTCGTGTCGAAGCTGGCTGTAAAGCTTGGCCAAAGCCTCGTACTTCGTCCTCCAAGTGTTGACCTGTTCCTGCAGCGAGCGTATCTGGTCATCCTTGCTCTGACTCTGCTGCTGGAAGTTGCTTTGTAGCGAGGCGAGCTCATTTTCCAGCGCCTTCATCCTCGTATCATACTGTCGCAGCAGTAATTGATCCTGCTCGTACTGAGCACGTGCTCGCAGATTCTCCTGTTCCAGCTCTGCCATGCGACCTTGTGTCTGCTGCGCATACTGCTGTTGCTGCAACTGTTCCTGCTGGAGCCTCGCCTGCTCAGCCGCCAATCGCTGCTGCTCTTCGAAGTCGCGCTGGGCTTGCTGTTGTTGCAACATCTGTTGTCGTTGAGCTTCCTCCCACTGAGCTTGCAACCTACGCTGCTCAGCTTCATACTCTTCTTGCTGCCGTGCTTGCTCGTTCTTCCAGAACTCGTTGATCGGCTCCGGATCAGTCGCTGCTTGAGGTGGGGGCGTGTCGCGCGGCTTGGTGACAGGTTCATTCTTCGGTCGCGCAGGCAGGGCAGGAGCGTTCTCGTCTTCAGCCAGCAGATTGGGCGGATCTTGTGGCAGCTTCGGAATGGTGATGAGTGAAGTGAGATATCGCAGATTTGAGCATTCGTAGTAGAAGCGAACCAATCGGTAGTGCTGGGCATCGTAGCGACCACGCAGAGGGCTGAGAGCTTCGTCGTCTCCCAGGGTCGTGTGCATAGCACGAAGCATGCTCGTGATGAACTTGTAGATACCATAGCTCTCCTGCACCAATGGCACCAGCGCACTAATTCGGCACTCATTGTTGGATCCGCCACGGAAATGTGAGAAGATGAGTTTCTGGAAGCTGTCGATCTGGTCCTGGAGGGTCATGAGCTCGCTAATGGTCTCATATCCTTCGTTCGGGTCGTTGATGCTCTTCAACGAGATGTATTCCTCATATTCAAAGGTTCCATTGAATTCCGGATGCTCGCGGTGAAACTTCAGCTTTGAAACAAGATAGAAAATGTACTCCTGGATCAGAGGCGCATATCCGCGCAAGCCCTCGCCGCCAATTCCGCCCATCATACCTCTGGAGAGACCTTCCAGCCAGCCGACATGCTGTTGTGCCTCCTTGAGCGCGACCGGGTGGCCTTCTTGTAGGACCTTGTGGACTGTGTAGAGCGCCTTGAAAGTCTGCACTTCGTCGGCTTGGATAGGCTGGACTTTGATGCCATTCCAGAAGGACTGGCTGGATTTGTGGTCCCACGTGTAGACGATACATGCGCGCACATGTTTTCGCTTGGGCGCTGTCTCTTCGATGGAGGTGGCCTTGCGGATGTTGGTGGACAGCTCTGTCTCGGTCTTAGTGAGGTCTACATTGCGCGTAGCCTGCGAATACATGGTGCCGGTTGGTTGCGATGAACCATACACGGCAAAGGGTGCTCCTGACATTCAGAGAAAGAACAGGAGGTGGTGTGAGAGATTATGAGACGGTCGTAATTGGGCCAGGCAGCTGCAATAATGTCATCGTATTGAAAGTTCAGCATGGGTTCTCCATGCTGCAGTCGGAGCTTGCGTGGAGAGGCTCTGGGCTGACGAAATTTGGTGCCTTGTGGCCTGAGAGTGACACTCCCAAACTCCATCCACCGATAGCTGCTTGTGTTTGGTCTCTTCTCGGCAAGACCGCTCGAGTCCAGACGGTCCAGCATGACATACCGCGGCTGAAATGGGAGGCATAGTCTATATAGTGAAGCGGAAGGCACATACCTTTCTGGGTCCTCGAAAGATGCTCGTCTGGCTTTCGGTCAATCCTGCCTCTCATCATCTCACCGAGACCTGACTCCATGATTCTTTTCTCGACCTGCTCAGCACCACCGAAGGCCACCGAAGCATGCTATGAGCTCGCGGATCATGATGGGGTAACTGTCACCACTTATTATTATTTGCCTTCGCGAAGCAGCATGTGCCGCACGAGACGCATGCCATGTTGTCTGATAACACTTGTGTATGCACGTGGCATGGATCTTATTACGGGGGGCCCGAACTATGCGGCACGATGGCCCGAGCAAAGAAAGATCGCGGTGCAAGACTGATCTGATTGATTCTAGTGTGAGGAATCTGATCGAGCGAGAAACGACGATGATGAAGACTCCATATCTTCGCCAAGCAGGACTGCGAGTGGTATCGATCAATGGTAGGTCCGTACAATACCCACTTTGCGAATGTCGCATCCGATTGCTCTCAGGATGGCTAAGATGATCTTGCCAACGCGCATATCTCGCCTTCACTACGGGCTTTCCAGGGAGGTCTCGCAAGTGGTCAGGCACTCGAACTACCAACAAAATGGCCTGAGGCAGGAATACGTTGCCAAGAGAAAAACGTCATCTCGTATACGAATACGCGGGTCCCAAATTTCACCTGGCTCTGCATCACAAGAATACGAGTCGACTCTTTTATCGGACTGATGACTCCTCCAATCTGGTGTGTATGGTCGAGGTAGTCATGACAGGACTTTCACCACCCTCTCTCTCGAATCGATTGTCACCAAGCGCCGCCAATGATAAAAATAGATGACTGGTGAAGCGCCCCCGCTGGCGCTTTCGTGTTGAATTTAGATGGTTAGAACAAGCGCAACTGATAGACCCCCGTAACCACGTCCCTACGCCTTCCACAGATGGCACCCATGTGCTTCAAAAATGTTCTGCGGTCGCGCGGCGCTTTTATCGGGGCCAAATTCAAGATCAAGCTTTCGCGCAGGTCATTCAGCATTGCATCGTACGACGCCTTGCCACGAACAATGGAGCCTGCGGATTACGAAGATTTCTACCGGTACACCAGTGGACGTTGGCTTTGGGCGGAGGAACCTCGACTTCGAGAGCGATACAAGAGATTCAATGTTCCAGGATTGAAGAGCATCGCTGCCAAGACTAGCGGTGCGCAGTCATGCTTGACCATCACCAAGCACGCCGAAGGAGGCTTCAATAAAATCTTTCGGCTTGTGATGGATAACGGGTGTGTGGTGATGGCAAGAATCCCAAATCCGAACGTTGGCCCAATTTCCAAAGTCATGGCATCTGAGGTTGCAACAATGGATTTTGTGAGCCTTAAAAGACGATCTACGCGCCCTCGTGGTCAGAACTGATGTGCTGCCAACAGGTGCAAAATGTCATCGGCATCCCAGGACCCAGAGTCCTTGCTTGGGATGGCAGAAAGTCTAACGATGCAGAATCGGAGTACATGTTGATGGAAGAAGCAAGGGGCACGCAATTAGAAGAACTGTGGGCTGACATGGAACTGGATGATCAGGTCAGTGTTGTCGACGACTTGGTTGCGATACAGAAGAAATTGCACTCGGTCAACTTCTCGCGGTCTGCTGCCCTTGGTCTTGCAGCAAGGAACTGAACTAATGAGGAGAATCAGGTACGGGAGCATATATTATAGATCGGATGCATTTGAAGGTTGCTCAACTTTCGAAGTCTCCGGTGACTTGCCACAATCGGCAAAGACATACGCAGAAGATCGGTTTGCAATTGGGCCTGTTGCCGAGAGCGCACTCTGGGAGACCGAGAGCTCTTCATCCTTTGCTGATCGTGGGCCTTGTAAGGCCGTACGAAAGTCCTCCTGCATAGGCATAGCTAATGAGACCTGCCAGGGCTGAATGCACAAGATTATCTTCGCGCCATATCTCGAAGAGAGCGCGCAAAGCTGGCCAGAACGGATTTGAGTGCGACTGAAGATGATTCCGATGAGTTGGAGTCGGCACAGCATCGACTCGCACTCCTCGACAAGTTTGACGCAGTCAGTGCTTATCTACCACCAAGCAATACGAACTTGGATAAAGCAGCACTTTCGCATTGGGACTTACGAGCTCCCAACATCTTCGTCAAAGACGGCCGAATCACGAGCTTGATCGACTGGCAAGACAACTGGGTTGAACCGTTTTTCATGCAGGAAAAGCGGCCTCAACTGATTGACTACCATGGAGAGCTGATGCTGCGCCTGCCCGACGACTACGAGACCATGCAAGACAAAGACGAGAAAAAAAAGGTCTGCAACAAGGTCCAAAAATCGCTGGTCTATTGGCGCTACGGACGACAAACACAGAGACAGAACCCGGTGTTGCGAGAGCTCTTCGATCTCCCTCTGGCGCGCGTAAGGAGAGAAACAGTATCCTTCGCCTCGAATATCTCACATGGCGAAGCCCTTCCTCTCCGCGAATCTTTGTACCAGCTCCAACAGTAACTCTCCACTCCTCTCCCAACATCTCCGTTCCCAACATCTCTAACCCATTCATCAGACAATGGCCCAACCTCCAACCCGGACTCCCATGTCCCATCACCTTCACGCCCGAAGAAATTTCTGCGCACACCCGCATCTCAGCGAAGTGGAACGACGACGTGGACTTCTGGTCCCCTTTGAAAGGATTCGTGAGTCGTGATGGCTACGTTTCGAATGAGAACTATGACGACGCGAGAAAGTTTTTTGCGGAGCTTAGGGATGCTGGGTTGGAACAGTTCAGGGGGAAAGAGTTGAGGGATTTTGAGGAGGGGAGTCGATGGGCTGAAACGGGAACGAGAGGGTTGAATGGTGGGAGTGAGGAGAGGAATTACAAGTTGGCATGAATTGGAATATTTTGGTGCGTTTACCAGATCGAGGGTCTTGATTGCAAATGAGTAGATCTCTCAAGGCCTTTTGGTTTGAGTGGCAGCCTTATCAAGTGCCTCGCCTTGTTTCGGCCTTGAGTAGAAAGTGGGTGCATTTATCTGTCACGTTATACCTATATCTGGGCCCGAATATCGTAAGGGGTACGGGAAACGGCGATTGAGTGATGAGGCGTAAGAGACTGGGCACGATATTGCGAAGCTGGGACGTGAATGCTTTTTCTGATTCGCATCTATGGAACGCACGCACGCAAACAAATCTGCTCGCCGGCAGTGCTGGATCTCATGCATCTCCCGTACAGCAGAGGATTTCTCTGCGCAGAACCTTGAACCCCAACTCCGCTGCTTCTTTTCGTAGTCGAAACATCACGACGATTGATGGAGAAGAAGATGCTTAGTGGTTGGCAAGAGCGTAGGCACGTCTGCGATCACGCTCCTCGGCAATGGAGAGCTTGACACCCTTGCCCTTTGGCAGGGAGATCCAAGGCTTCTCACGACCGATGACGAAGACGTTGGTCTCACGAGTAGCGAACTCGTTGTCAATAGCGTCCTTGATGTGCACGATGTTGAAACCTCCGTCGTGGCGCTCACGGTGGGTGATGACACCGACACGACCCATGTTGCGACCACCAGTAGCCATGGCGATGACACCCGTGTCGAAACGGATGAAGTCGTCGATCTTGCCAGTCTCGAGGTTGACCTTGACGGTGTCGTTGACCTTGATGGCTGGATCTGGGTAGCGGATACTGTATCCTCAGTCAGCATTTCTGCAGCAGGCATATGCAAACATTGGTCCAACGTCTGAAAGACAGTCGCAACCACGTATAAGTGCTCTGGGAGACTCACGTGCGCGCGTCATGCGTAACCAAGAATGGGATGCCGCCCTTGCCAAGTTGTACTCTCTTGACCTTTCCGAGCTTGTACTGTGCCTCCTCTTCTGTGATGCGGTGGACGGTGAAGCGGCCCTTGGTGTCGTAGACGAGGCGGAAGTTTTCGCCGGTCTTCTCGATGGAAATGACGTCCATGAAGCCGGCTGGGTAGGTGGGATCGGTGCGCACTTTGCCGTCGACCTTGATCAGGCGCTGCATCACGATCTGCTTGACCTCGCGGCCATTGAGGGCGTACTTCAGGCTGTGGCAGTCAAATGTCAGTCCATGTCGCTTCAAGTTCGTTTCAATGTCGCCTCAATCACATCTCGCGCCCGCGGCTGATTGTGTGGGTGTTGTTCTGGCATACCGGTTACGGATGAAGACGATCAAGGGCATGCAGTCGCGCAGCTTGTGCGGACCTGGCGAGGCCTTGGGAGCGTAGGCACCGCTGAGCTTGTCGAGAAGCCAGTGCGATGGGGCTGACAGCCGCTTCTGGTGCTTCTTTGGTCCTCTACCCATGGTTGCGGTGTTGTGTTGTCGAAGATGTCAGTCACAGACGTGAAGCTCAAAATGAAGAGAAGTTCATAGCTCAAAAGAACGCTGCGGCTGCTGCCGGTGTGGGCTCGCCAAGACATGGTCAATGCGCAGCGCCGACTTCCGAATCTTCCTTCTCCACCATACAGCATCAACAACACCTTCTTATATTCTCCCTGTATCATTTCCCTGCATGCATCGGATAGCGACATTACCATGCTCGAGAACTGTGCCATCACCTTGTCTCGCCTGGCTCTCAGTGTTGCTCAATTCGCACATTTACCTTCGAAATCTCGCCGCCCAGAGCGGGACTGGGAACATTGGTGTCCAGTAGGCCATATTGTCATGGTAGAGGGTCCTTGATGCGGCATCAAGAGTACGCGGGTGTGCTGCGATGGATGTCAATCGAAGCACACTCACTTGCTCTGCTGTCACACCAATCTTCTTGCCCATCGCCGAGACTCAGTGTCATGGCTCAACCTTGAAAGCTCTTCGTCAACTTACATGTACCTGGCATACAGCGTCTTCATACATCGGACTTGAATCGGCCGGGATGCCTGTGGTCCGCGAGACTCAGTGCCTGATTCGTTGTAAACCATGAGATCCAGGATTGAGGAATCGAGCTCATTCACTCGGAAGTGCTCAGACGCTGTATGCTCTACGAACCACTGACAAGTAGCACTGTGATGGGTCTTTCACAGCATAAATTGACCATCTTTTATTTCGACACGTCTACAAAAACGTTTTCTGAGGAAAGCACAACGAACGAGCTGGGCTACATGGATGTGCTCATCAGAACTGCCCACTCTGTTATCTGCTTCACGGATGTCCATGCGAAGGAGAAACGGCAGAGGGCGCTGCAGTGGCCACATCGTCGAAGTCTCCCCTGCCGTAAAGCACGTCAAGCTGGGTGACCGAGTATCTCCTGTGGCCATTGCTCGACATGCATCACAGGACACCGACAGTACTGCTCTGAAGCCCGCGGTTTCGCATTCTCTGATCTGGACCAAGGAGCCTTCAGTGACTACCGGATCATCGACTCCGACTCCGCCTACCGCATCCCAGACGGCATATCGAGTGTGAATGCCGCTCCATTGATGGGTGCAGGCGCTTCCGTATTTGAGGCTGTGCACGCAGCAGGAGCAAAATCAAATGATCGTGTGGGCGTCGTGGGCGTCGTGCGTGGGCAATGGCGGCCTCGGCTACATGGTCTCCATGCATCCAGCCTTCTACTTCTTGGTTTTCGTGTATCAGGAGACGGATGTGTTATCTCGGCCCCGCAGTTGTGCAACCATCCATTCTCCTTGGGGTGACATTGTCGGCCAGCCTTGGGAGCTGCCAGCTTGCGAACCAAGACGCGTGGGGTCTGTTCCAGATGCGTTCCGGCCCTAATTTGGGACAGCCTTGTCCTCTGCGTTCGATGATGCATTGAATGATCAAATCCAGCCTTTGGAGGGCCGCTCTCTGCATATCCGACAAGTCGATGGCAGAGATGGCTCTCTTGTGCTCCCTATAGCTGAGCCACCTTTGTCCCACGGTTGTCTGACTCTACATAAGGACATCTGTGAGCCCAGCCCGTTTATCATTTCACTGCTCATCGCTGATTCAGTCGCGATATATGCACGCACAATGGGCAAGACAAGCGCTTTTCTGAGTCGATGGGATCAGGCCACCGCTCGGTGGGCAGGCAGTTGGACGCTGGAGCTCATCGCAATCACATTCAGCTGTCTTTGCCTCGCAGCACTAATAGCAACTCTTCTTGTCGGAGACGGCCAGGCAACTTGGGACGGTATCACCCTCAACACCTACGTATCAATTCTGGCCACGGCAGGCAAGTTATCGGCGCTGTTCACAGTGAGCTCAGCTATTGGACAGGCGAAATGGAACCTTTTCAGTCGAAAGCCCAGATCTTTGCTGGACTTTCAAGCTCTTGATCTCGCGAGTCGTGGTGGATGGGGAAGTGTGCAACTTCTTTTCCGGCGAAGAGATGTGTAAGTTCTGATGCCATTGTGTACAGCTGCGACTAATCCTCGACTACCCACAGCGCTGCTGTTCTAGGGGCACTTGCGTTCATTGTTGCGTTTGCCTTCGACCCATTTGCACAACAGCTTGTTCATCTACGCAGCCACATCGCTTTCTCTCCCAGTTTAAAAGCGAGTTTTGCAACCACCAGCAGATACGATGGCGGTATGCGCTATGATTACGGCCCTGCCTACGTCCCGGACAGTGACGGTGCGAAATAGGACAGTATGTTGGCTACGCGCCTCGCTGATCAAATGTCACAGGGTCTATGATCAGAGATTTTGCCGTCACTGCGGATTTCAGCATGCAAGCTGCCGTCCTCAGCGGGCTGGTACAGCCTTTAGAGGCCATACACCAGCAAAGCCATACTCTCTGCCCATCTGGAAATTGCACATGGCCAGTAACGACGTCTCTTGCGGTTTGCAGCACGTGCCAGAACATTCCGTCCGTCGAGAAACGAACCGTCACCGATAAGCTGCCAACCATGTCCTCTCTAACCGCCGCCATGCCTCCGTTTCGCGCCTCTATCTCAAGATTCCATGTCGGCGAACATGTCTTCATCGACAATGTAGATGGCGTCAACCTTTCGTACCCCAACTTTCTTCATTTCACTGCTTTCACCACTGCGAAGCCCCTCGAAACGGTCGCGATGAAAGAGATCGACAGTCTGATACTAGCAACGACCTTCATGCGAGTCAAGTCAGACCAGGCAAATGGATCTGCCACATGGCCGACTCTGCCTATCGCTGTAACGGAATGCGCGCTCTACTACTGTGCCAGGTCGTACAATGTGTCTATGCAGGACAACATCATCAACGAGCAGTCTCACGAAATACCGG